GCAACATCGCAATAATATAATGTTATATAGATATCCCAGTAAAACTAGTCCTACCAAGCTAGAAGTGTTTAATCTTATTAATGAATCATTAGAATTACATGAAGTTACAATGGATGATTTAATAGCGATTATTCCAATAACTAAATCACAGTATCCAACAATTAAATTAATTATTAAAAATACTCAAATAAGAGATTACATATATTCGAGTTTTATAAAAATGAAACAGCAAAACCTATCGAACGTCTGGAAAGAAATTCAAATTTCACAGGACCTCATAAAAAGATCTAGATTAAGACGTAAACAATTAATTCCTTTTTTAAGCGAGTTAAGGAAAGCAGGTAAATATCCAAAACTCCGAGGTGATACTATACTGTTGGGCAATTATTCTTTGACGTATAGCTATGTGTTGGAGGGGCTGGTATACTTGGACTCTTTTACCCTGTATTTTACTTCTGAGAACTCTCCGCAATGACATTTGATCAAGTTAATCACTCCTATTCAAGCCTTACGTTTTGTTGAGTCTTAATTATTAAGTTCCTTGCTTGCTGCACATAATAATAATTGAAGGTTATATCGGATATATGAATTTAAGAATGAAAATAATAAAAGCATTATTTCAGTTTAAAAAAATAAATTATTTACATTAATGGCATTCAGTCAATATAGTTAAGCCAAAAATTTGTATTTCAATCCATTAAAATTTAAGAAATCAAATTACTATAAAAAAATTTCAAAAAAAATTTTAGAAAATAAAACTAATGAACCTTTAAAGTCTACGATTAAGAAATTTATGATGGTTCAACTGTGATTAATCAATGCAAATAGATTCTTCTAGATGGCTAGCTTTTTTTAACAGATTTACAGAAATTATGGTCCTTCTTATGCTGATATAAAAATTTCTTTCAACGAAAGTTTAGATATACTAATATCTACCGAAGAACTGGATATATCAATTCGTAAATTAAAAATGAAAACAGCTCCTGGAATGGATATAATTACCACTAAATTTATTAATTTCTTCTGCCAGCAGGTAGATAAGTTCTATTTGATCTTTACAACCATTTTTACATAACATTTATTATTTTCTTACTGAGTGTCCAAAGAAAGAAGAAGCGTAAAGTAAATTTAAATTAAAAGAGATTTTTGATTTAAATTAAGAAGAAAATTTCAGAATCAATCTAGAAAAAATTTCATTGTATAAGAAGTATAATATTCATTACTTTTTTGTTCATATTTTAAAGAGTTTGAAATATGATATGTAGATTGAATGATTAATATGTTATGTTTAGCAAATTTTATGTAACAAGATATTTAAAAAAATGTTTCAATAAGTATCAATTGTATTTTTTGTAATTCTCTTAAAGTTAACCCCCTGTAACAAGATCTTTCTTATTACAATAAAGTATTTGTAATTAATTAATTAATATTTTTTATTACACAAGTCATAAAATAAAACTTTAACTTAAAATCAATTTCATTGCTATTTACATATTTAGATAAAATATTCTCATTTTTTGGTAAATTGCACACACACAAATTTATTTTTTCCTTCAATAAACTTTAGAAAAAAAATATTAATTTCAGATCAAATAAATTTTCCTTAAGAAGTATTTCTATGAATAAATTCTACATAGTTCTATTTAATTACTTTTCCATCAAAGGCAAACTATTTACCTTTAATCCACAAACAGCCAAAAAATCTTCATTACATGGATTTCCAACAATTGAAAGAACCATAAAAGGAACAGGTGCTGAAGCTAATCTCTATAAATTCAATGATAAAATTTTATTTGATACATTGTTTATTTTTAAAAATCAATATACAGTAGAGCATCAATTATCCAAATATCGATCAATCAAAACGTCAATTAACCGAAAGCTTTCCAGTCAGCAAATTTAAATTTCCGCTAATTTTGTGGCCCTGCAATCTTCGGCTATGTCCTGGGCTACTTTGGTGGTATGTGTGTTTTAGCTGGCAGCACTGGTGCGACCATGAGAGGGTACTTAAGGATGTGCGAGGATTTGAACGAATTTCAACATGGGATAGGTTAATATATTTTTTGTACATTAATCAGTTATCTGAAAAATCAATTTTCTGAACAACCCCAGTCCCCAATTGATTCAGATAATTGATGCTCTACTGTAATTATTTATTCATTGTTTATAGAAGTTAAACACAACATAAAAAAATCATATATCAATAACTTATGTATATTAAAAATTATATTTTAAACAAATGAAATAAAATTTCTTATAATGAATTGCAAATAAATTTTTTACAATAAAAATGAATTACTTTCAATCAGTGCTTTTATTATGAAAGAATAAGTTAATAGCCCACTTTATCAGATAAAGTTTTGGATTATTTTAAGCATACTATAATTGATATATTTAAAATCACTAAAAACTGTAATGCCTTATGCCTTTACTGGTTCATCATCAACAAGTACAACTTTTCAAAATAAAAACAAACATCCTGTAAATATAAATAGTATAAAAATTGTACCCTTGTTCTAAACACAATATAAGTGACTAGATCACAAAATTCATTCAATCATTTAACAACAAAATTATAAACAAAAAAATGGTCATAATATAATAAAGCATAAAAGAATTTCTAAAAATATTGAAGTCTCCAAAGATCAGACTAACAATCAACATAGAATATAAATATATTTTGTATTACATTTTGCATATGACTATATTGCAAAATGTAATGAAATGTAATACTCAAAACTCAATATTTTCATTCTATACTCAATTAAACTACAGACATTAATTTTAAAAACGTTTTCCATTTATTGTTAAATATTGATGATAAAAAATATTCCCTAATCCAAGAATGCCATTTATGGTTGTTTATTTTTTTCCTTTAAAAATCAAGATGTGACACTAAGATATTACTGAAAAACATCTAGGAGAAATATCATCAAGCTTCGGAAAACAGTGATTGGATTGGATTGTTTGGTTTATTGGTGCAAGGGATGGAAAACCTAATAATACAAGTATTCCTTCTGCTAATGATACAAGTATTCTTTCTTTCATTTTGATATAGAAGGCAAAAGTGAAAAGCAAATAAATTCAAATAGAATAACAATAAATAAATAAGTAAACTGTTTTAATTCATACAAACTTAAGAGATAACTACAAGAACAAAGCAAAATACAAAAAGACAAAATCAGAAATAAAATTCCACAAAAAAATTTCTTGGACGTTGTTCTGAATTCCTGATAATCACAAAATAACCAATGCAATATCATATTAATTAATGAAACTAAATCTGAGGCAATATATCATAGAAGTAATATCAGAAAGAGCAATGGGAGAATATTTTACCTGCACTTCAGAAATTCAGAATATATTACACATAACCTAAAAGGTATCTATACTGATCAAAAGATGAGCACTTAAACTAGTTTGATTTTACTTAACAGCAATGGGTACGCTCATAAAGTCGAACGAGTTAAACGAGAATGACGTCATCGTTATCCTTATTTTGTTAGATTTTTTGAACGATTTGTTTATAACTAAATGGATGTTTCTAAAATTGAAGATATGAATGTTGCTAGTGCAGCCTTATCCGAAATATTTTTCTTAGATTGCTTCGGATGGACAGTTATTTCAATCATTTCACCTTTTAATTCACAATTTAAACACTCAAGTAGATTTAGAAACATCGATATCATTGGGCACCATTTTCTTAACAAAGTAAACTAACTCTTTTCTTCGTGAACTTCATTAGGGTTTTGTTTGAAACATCATCACCGCAGAGAATGCACACTGGGCAAGACTACTACTTTTTGAACGATTCATTACTAATGCATTTAACTTGTTTGACTTTATGAATGTACCCAATGATGTATTAAGGTTTTTACCTGTCTTATGCCAGCCAATTTTTTCTGCCCTTATATATATATATATATATATATCTTTAGGACAAAGAGTTCAAATTAAAAAAATCCTTTCTTTTTTTTGCCTAATAGCATGACACAGCTAAACACTTGTAATTTGAGACAATAAACATTCACTTAATACAACATTTACTTAGTGATTTTTGACCCAATCAGACATCTATAGTACATCCACCATACACTTCAATTCTCCTAATACACATTTACATTTGCTAGTGTCTAGCTTTGCTTTTGGTGAAGTATCTACAATACAGTCAAAATTAATTTCTTTCTTAAGATTAAATTCAATGTTCAACAAGGATAAACAATTTAGCCTTATGGTTTCCTTAGGTCTACTTGGACTAAGCTAAAATATCAAAACTATAAAGATTATATAATAAAATGACGACTGCCTCAGTTTCTTGATTTTTCCATTGTTGAACCAATGAAATCGAGATATTAGGTTGAGAAGTGATAATAAAGCATCATTGTCAGGCCTGAGAACTTAACAGATGTTTTGCTCCCAGGTGCAAAAGTTGACAGTTATGTATCAAGTTTATAGTTACGATATGACGTTAGGTGATAATGATGTAAACACATGGAAAGTCTGGATTCAGATCCTCACACTCTGTGTTATAAAGGAATCAGATCCTTTCAAGCATGTAGTTTTTCAATCGTTCAAGTAAAAAAGGAATTGTTTTGTTTTTAATACACCAATGTTGGCATTAATGTTTCATCAATAGTTTTTTTTAACACTGCACATTTCTGTATCTGTCACTTGCTGGATAAAGAGGATAAAAAGTATTGCAAATGTGCTTTTACAGATCACTGATATTAGAAGAAAATTGGCTAAGTTAACTAACTACAAGAATATCAATATATTATTGAATGCAGTGTGAGTGTGTGTGTATATATATATATATATAAAATATATGTATATTTAATTTTCCTAAATTCATTTAGTTTACTAAAACAATTATAACCATGTGCTTTTTTTTAACCATACTCATACCTCCCTTAAACGGTTTGTTTGTGGTATTCCTTCCTCATATAAATCAGGACATGTCATTTAAGAATACAAATAAAAATATATTTTGTATAAAATTATAAAATAAATTTAATAATATTAATATTCTCACTTAAATGTATAATTAATTATTTTTAAACAAAACATTAAAATAATGAAAACTTACTGTTAATGTTAGTTTTCTTTTACTAGAATCTGCTTGCTTCAATAAAGCAGATAATTGTAATAATGTGATCTGTAAAGTAAATAATTGAAACATTTAGTAAATAAAAAATATCACAAATTTCCTATTTTATTTATCTACTACTGTTTCATACATAATAATAATTTATTAACCACAATGATTTATTGCTGACAATAATACATGCAATAATAACAGAAAACTTCAAATACTTCCATTTTAAAAAAAATATTTTTATATATACACATGTAGTGGAGCATCAAAAATCCAAATTTTGTCTATTTAAAAGCAGATATTAATCCTTTCAATGGTAACTTCATTATTGATGTTCTTTCAGCTTCTGTTCTTTTGGTCTTGGATTGTTAATTTTCTAACATTCATTTGGTATTTGTAATTTTTTTTAATTTTGAAATTATAGTTAGTATATTTTTTGTTTAAATATGGTGATTTTGTAAATTACATTTTGAATCTTTAAGTATTCCTACATTCCACGTCAAAAATTGGCTTGAACAAAAAACACCTAAACTTAAATTACAGTGTATTTGAAGTTTATAGTATTTAAATGCTAATTTACATGTAAGTATATTTGAGAATCTGAATGGAGTCTAATTCCAATTAGTCTGCATTTGATGCTTCACTTTATTATAACTAACAAAATTATAGAAATAAATTGTAATAAAGTAAAAGATCATCATTTGTTATATTAAATTGCATACAATTTTGGTAGTCTTAATATTTTATAGCATAATTTGTCAAAGTGATATCAATAAAAATATTGTACAAGTTTTAACTTCAATTCATAACTTCATTTTAAAATATTATAAACATAGTTTAAAAAAGAAACTATTATTTTAAATCTCAGTGACATATTCAGAAATTCATTTTTTTCTTTTCATAAACTTTACTTTAATATTTAATAAGTAGAGATTATTAATGACATCATTTATGTGACTTGTTTGTTAATTTAATGACTTTTCCTACTTTTAGTAATTACTAAATTGTAATTACTAAAATTTTTATTAAGATTAAAAAGTAAGAAGACTTTTGTTTTTTTCAAAAATATATAGCGTGAAATCCAGTTTTCCCGTTCTGATCATTTAAAATTAATATCTTTCTATTCTATATCAAACTGATCTGTATAATTTTTATACTTCTGTTAAATATAAGTTATGTCAAATGACAAAAGGTACATTAATCATCATTAAAATAAACCAAACAAAGATAAGTTATAAGTAAATATTTCAGGAATATTTATTTTATATATCAAACTCAACTGCAACCCAATGATCAGAAAAATTAAGAGAAACTTGATTTTGTACTGACTTCTAAATAAAGACAAATGTGAGATATCATTGTGCTACAACACAAGATTAACATTTTGATATCAGCTTACAGAGGAATATGGTCATCTTCCATGAGACATCTGACTAATTCTACTAAAATATTATTTAAAACAATAAAATGTTGATGTTTCTCTAAGGGATGTGCACACTTGACCACATGTGCATGTTTCAGAACTTCATAAGTAATAATACAAATATTAAAAACATTATAATACTACCCATTGTAAGAAGTTGTTGAAAGAAAAGTTTCTTATATTTATTTACCTTTCCTTTTTCATGACTGACTGCTAAATGTTGTCGTTTTCCTTGAGGAGAAGCCAAGCAACACATTGCTATACGTCGAATCATATGTGCACTGATAAGTTGTTTAATAGTCTGACCTTGCTCACCAGAGTAACTCATACGTACGTTTTCAAAGGCTCCTTCTTGAGAACCTAATGTTGGAACCTAAATCATAAAATGATATTATATAAGTATCAGATAAATAAAAATACAAAATTTATAAAGAATCTGTTTCTTAAATAGATATAAAGTAGATATAATGAATGTAGATAACTATAGTGGAACCTCATAAGTTAACCACTTCCAAATTGTTTTTATCTCTTCAAAATGACCATTCTTACACAGTCCAGAATATAGCCCATAGAAATACACAGAGTTAAACTCTTTAGATGTTGATCACCTCTAAACTTATATTTTGACCAATCTCAACCTATTCGTGCCAAAGAAAACAATGTATAAGTTGAACAAATGCATACAGTTTTTCTGAAATTGAAACTGTCTTGCATATGAGTTTTAAAATCATAGTAAGAACTTGCTCTTAGCATTAGTATTGCAAAGAATTTGTTTAGAATTTTTCAATAAAATTTTATGACTATTGTATTTTATGATTTAAATTCTCTTATCTATTCTTTGTCTTTCAACTTTCTGGTTTTTTCCTGTTGGTTTGATGTCTAGGACTTAGAAGTTTCTAAAAGCTGGAATATTATAGTATATATATAGACCTATCTGAGAAAGAAAAAAAAGTCAGACTTTAAAGTTCATGTTTTTCATGATCTACAGTTACATTATTATTTATATAAGATCAGATGAAAGTACAAATGAAGCAACAACAACTGAAACAATAGTTATCTCAGAAGTTAATATAAAATATGTCTTTTTAACATTGAAACACTTTGATAACAATTCAGAACATTTTAAGGAATACAACAACTGCAGAAAATAAATTCAACGTTTGTTTTAAAAAAGAAAAAAAAAATAGAGCAGTGCTGAAGAAAGAATCAAACTGCTTACTATATTTTCTAGTTTCATAATATATCTTGAACAAATGTGAACTGTAAACATGTATAAATACTGTCAAAATACTGTACATATATTTGTATTCATATATATAATGTTTAAGTGTTTATCATCCCAATGTATCCCATTCTATAATGTTTTCAATATACATGTAATGACAGTGTTTTCTTATTAAAATGTTGTTGGTTGTATTATATTGCATAATGAGCTCCATTTCTATATGAAGACCACCTTTATATCTGACCAGTAGATATCAGTCCCTTCTGTGGTAAACAAATGGTAATTCCACTGTATATTTTTCTATACTTTCTAAAACAGATTATTGTAAAATATAATTTTTCAGTAATTTTTACTCTATTTTTTTTAAATTGAAAACATAGGCTTAAATTTATTCTTAATGCATAACCAATCAGACCAACTAATTCAAAATTATAATCTGTAATAAAATTATTAATAAATTATAAACATAAAATATGATCTAAGTGCTTCCTAATATTTATTTGTTCTTCTTATACATCATAATGTAGTTTCACATAAAAATAATTTAGGTAATATTTTCTTCTGTATTGCAATATACATGAAAAACAAATATAATAAAATATCATAATTCAAATTTAAACTTTAAAATAGAAACCATAACATGATTCTTAATGCCAGATGTAAACTATGGATTGTTAGAAAAAAAATCTAGCAATTCTATTTTCAACAATATTTTTCCCAAGTATTTCATAGAAGTTTTTATTTTTTTAACTCAGATGTAAGCTTAATAAAGCAAATGAATGAATTAAATGATGCAAAATTTCTGAAAAAGTAGTCTTTAATGCAGTATGTATGAGGAGATCAATATATACTGGAATTTTGAAATCATCAAGATACATTATAATAATAAATTAAATTAAAATATATACTAACAATATTGTTGAGGAGAGAAAAATAATATGTTAGTTGTTGTTGTTATTGACGGTACATTTTAAGTAGGAAAGGCCTCTACTAATTGTGGAAATTGTTTTTATTTCAAAACTCCTAAAAATACCTAATAATAAATTTGGAACCATGTAAAACTCAAACATGTAAAACATGTCTGATAATATATAATTAATTTTTTTTAAAATTCAGTATAAGATACTTACCATCAACTGATCAGTTTGTTCACAGGTCTTTTCTCTTGAATGTAATTCATTTAATGCATTTTGAGCTCTTACTGAACTTCCAATAGGAGAATTTCTTTGACATGAGTCAACAACTGCAGGCATTAAATATTGCAATAATTCCAAAACAGTGCCAGCTGTATTACTTGATGTCTTAAAAATAAAATGAAACATTATTAGCATGAAATTAAAATTATAAAGTAATAACTAGTGCAGACTTTTAGAAAAGTATATTCAATAACAATAGGAGGTGAGAAATCATTTATTATTTATTACTAGAAAATATATTTAATTTAATCCAATCATTTAATTTAAAATTTATAAATAATAACTATATTACTTTATTCTTGTATTACATGCAGTACTTGTATCTGTTTCTTCTGTATTCAAACAACAAATATTTTTATGGAAAATACATACAGTTGATCCCCTATAACACTGTTGATAATTCCGTTTTATATGAATTCCATGTTGTACGAGTCACTTAGATTTTACAAATACATGAGCCATTCACAGCCCGGCACATGTATTTGTAAAATCTAAGTGACTAGTACAACATGGAATTCATATAAAACCGAATTATCAACAGTGTTTTAGGGGGTCGACTGTATTTGAATTTACTATGCTGTAAGTTTATTAGTGACAACTGTTCTAATTATTTCTGTTGTTTGTTTACATTTATTGATAGTTTACAATAATAAACTGTTAAATATATTTTACTTTAGTCATCATAGAGAGTATAATTGAAGTACTTCAAGTATAATAATGAAAATTTACATGTTATTGCTATAGAATCAGTTTCATAATTATAACATTGTCCAAAAATTATGAATTTGGGATACAGTACAAGCAAAAAACTGATTTTTATAATAAAGTGATCAAGTATGAACAAAAACAAATTTAATTGTTAAAAACTCCATTTAACCTGTATTATTTTTTTAGAAAGATTAAAAATTAAACTATTGTCTATTTCATATTTTTAATGTCACTTTATGCAAATTCATTTTCAATAATTTATCCTTGATGCCTTTGTGTACAACAAAGTTTTCTTAATTTTGACAAGATTCCACACAAAACTGAGCTAAGTGAATTGAAATTGGCCAAATAAAGGCATATCTTAACTCTTTAAACACAAGATTGACCAAAATTGTATTAATCTTTTTGAGATGAAATCAGCCAAATGGAAAGTTGTTTGACTGGTTTTGCTATAAAAATTCCCTTTCTAGCCTGAGTGGTAAAAACCTTTTCATCTTCAGGTACAAAGACATTTTCAGTGTTTAAAGTGTTAAGGAAAAGCACAATCCTGCTCAATTATGCATAAGTTGGGTTGTTTATTGTACAATACAAAATTTTCTGAACAATCCTGATGAATATGTTAATGAGAGATGAACTGGATGCAACAAGAAGCTCAAATAACAAATTTTTCTCCTGATGATAATTAAAATCTTTTTCCATGAAAACCAAGAAGCAGGACAGTTTGCACACATTCTAAAATTATACTAAGCAAATCAGGATAGCACAGTTAGGAAAAGATTAGTCAACTTAGATTTATGAAATCTTATTTTAGGACTGCAGGCATTAAATATTGCAATAACTCCAAAACAGTGCCAGCTATTAAATCTATAAAGTATCCATAAACCATGTAATATAAATACTATATCAAGTATAACAATAATCTATTTTAGTTTATATGCATATAATAATTATGTACTACATGTTCATACATGATGATAAATGTTTGTTTTGTTTGTAAATGGCAATGTTTCCCTCCCAGGAGAACTTTCTATGGAAAACTGTCCTTATTTAGGTGTTTTAAACATGAAGAGATCCTGGAAAACTTCACATGGCCAACCCACTAGCAAGGTGTGAACCCACACAAACTACCAATGTTCAGTGATTTTATTCACTTTGCCACAGGTGGGCTATAGCTAACTTAAAATCAAAAAAAGCAATTATACTGTAGATGATGATACTTGCAGATTACCTACATTTAAATTATTGCATTATAGGTGATTTTAGCTAAATATTTTTATGATAACAATTTTTCTAATAGAGTAAAGTGTAAATTTTCATTATAGTTTTAGTTTATTTGTATAAAATGAAAAAGAAGAAAAATTTTTTATAATTAGTTACATAAAAGTACTTATTAATATAACAATTTTCCAACTTATGTGTTTGTGAAATATATTAAAATATGGAATGATATACAGTGGGTGATCGGTTAACGAACAGATCGGATAGCGAACACTTTCGTGAAAGATTTTTATGATCGAACAACGAACACATGATCAGATAACGAACACATGTTCAAATAACGAACACTTTACAGAACAAACATGAAAAGAAGCGACGGAAAATAACGAATACCAATTGATTTTCCTTTGTCTTCAGGTAACAATTCGAAACCTTTCGGAGATGTCAACATTGACGCTCAACCCGATACTGATCAGATAGTATAATATTCCTCTGAATTTTGAAACTTTCCCTTGTAATTCCAAATTTTTGTTTACCTTTCTGACAAATAATTTTTTATAGCATTCGTGAGATTGTCGGACAGGCACTTGTTAAGTTTTGCCTCGGGGTTTATTTACGAAAAATGAAAGTTTAACTGTCCCATCGGATATTCATTAACGTTTTAATACCAAATTTTGAATTTTATCTAGGCCTTGCATTTAAATAATTTTTTGTGGGCTAGTTGATTTCTGTTTTATGAATTTTTGTAAGTGCTTTTCTGAACTTTTTATTTAAAAAAGAAACTGATAATATTATGGAGCCTAAAAAAGAGGAGTGTCAAGAACTGTGCTCACTGTAGAAACCAAGTAAGAGATAATAACCAAGGTAGAAAGTGGGCACAAGATGTCTGATATTACTAGGCAGTACGGCTTGAACAGTAGATCTGCAGTAGGCACAATCTTAGCTATGAAAGATATATCAAGAAGTCTCAAACTGCTAATGGAGTAATAAAAATCACATCTGAGAAATAAAGAGCATTTTAGAGCTCATAATGGAACCTGAAACTGATCTGACGACAGAACTCCCAAGAACTCTCAAATGAAATATTCCAAGAAACTCAGCGAGATGTGTTTTCTTTTGAAAAAGAGGAAGGCGAAAGAGGACTAATGTCAACATCTGCTACTAAAGATCTTTTGAAGAAGTGGGAGGATGTCAGAACATGATCATCCAAGTGGCATCCAAACCAGAATAAGGTTAATGGGGTTGGGGATCTCTACAATTATAATACTATTAATTACTTCCGAAAAATCCTGAAGAAAAGAGAAAAGCAATTGACATTTAACAGATTCTTTAACCCTCACAAACAGAAAAACATGACTAATAAAAATGCAACACTGCATATATATGTATTTTTACTATTACATATAAATAAACATAGCAAAAAAGTATATATTTTTTAATTTTTGGAGTCTCCTGAATGAATTAATCAAATACCCATAAAAACCTATGGTAAATCAGTAATAGGTTAACGAACAATTCAGATAACGAACAAAGTCTTGGAATGGATTGATTATGTTCGTTAACCGATCACCCACAGTATTTCTAAAAATTAATGGAAAGTTAATTAAGATTGATTCTTGTGACGCTTCGGAAATGCAACCTGTACAAAAATCAATACAACTCTGCATAATAAATATCTAATGTGATAGTACAATAATTAACCAGTATAAATTATAGTAAATTAATATATGTCTGAGAGCAAAGATTACACTGAAATCCAGATATTATTATTGCTAATTTTGCTTGCCAGATATGCAAAAACTGTAGATTTCAACTTTGTTCCAAACCAATCTTTTCTTCCAGAACATTAGTAATTAGAAACAAATTTTGATTGTTTATATAAGACAATGGTATCATTGTTTATTTTCATGCCAAATATCAACATTAATTAATTAAAAAGTAGCAAAATAATCTGGCAATTTAGATTTATATATGATGATGATGACAAAGGGACAATAGTTAATATTTGTATCATCAGTTAGTGTGACAAGGTAACACAGTCTTTTTGTCAAGAAGAACTTAAGTGATTTAACATCCATTTTATATCTGAATTTAAATAAATAAAAGCTAAAATTTTTAAGCACATTCAAGCAGTTATTAAGATATAAAATTTTGTTACAATAAATTGAGATCCTATCTTATTATTTATTATAAATTTAAAAAAAACAGCTATAGAATCAGAAAGTGATTGATATAATCTAAATTTGCAAATTTACAGCAATCATTCTCATCTTTTTTTTCTGTAGTAATGCAATAAAACTTATGTTTAATATAATAAAATAGAACAATAAAGAAGTTTTTTAAAATTACAATCTGATATTAATAAATTTAAACTTACCAAATGACTGATTAATGATTCTCTGAATACCTAAAATAAAAAAAAGAATAAACATAATTAATAACTACTACACTTGTAACTTACACAATGTTAGGAAAGTTAATTTTCTTAAAAATTAATAATAAGGAGTTTAAAAATTTCAACAGAATTGAACAAATTACATTCTTTTTTTTTTTTTTGAAGATTTAAAATATCTCAGAATTGCATAGAAACTGAAGTGCTTGCATTTTGGATTTGTGGTTTTAATAATTATTTTTCTGGATATTGGTATCATGTTGAAGATATTTTTATTTTCTACACAACTTGATTAATTTAACTAATAAGTTATATTTTTGAGAATTTAGATTATAATTTATTATGACAAAACTTTTTAACTCAGAAACCAAACTAATAATAATTTGGCAAATCTTCACAATACATTAGTGATTCCTCATCACTAATTTATTGTTATTCAAAATGCATTTAGTCTAAAAATAAATTTGTTAATACAAGCACTGTATGCTAATTTGCTATAGTTCTAGACAAATGACATTTGGAATTGAAGATTTACCAAATTATTACTAATTTGGCTTACAAGTTAAAACAGCTAAATTAAATTTAATTTTATAAACAATATAAAAAAAACAAACTACAGGCCCCACACAAACACAGGCTTAGTGAACTTTCAGCAACTGCAAGTTAGTACTCACTTGGAGAACATCAATTTTATGGGGACCAAAGTACAAAATGCTATTTAAAGCTAAATTTAATCTAAGTATAAGAAAGTCTTGAATTCTGTAATACAGATGTCTGAAGTGTAGAAAAAAACTTGGATTCTCAGTAATATTGAAATCCACACACATATATTATATATATACTTCAAATGCATCTTATTTCAAATGTTAAAAAAATATTTGTTTTTATATAGACTACATGTATTTCAAATTTCAATTAAAATGGTAAAATGGCCAATAATATTTAAAAAAAAAATTTTTTTAATCTGAGGAAACTAAGTCCTCTTCCTTTCCATCACGTCCAATCACCAGGAACGAAAACTGTCTTTCTTTGCAAAGACAACCTTTCACATAATTTTTATTAAAAAAAAAAATACTGTCAGCCATTTTAATTTAAATTATGTATATATTTTTTAATTGATTTTGTGAAAACCTGAGGGCCCTGGGTCTAATTTATGAATTTTTATTAATAATGGTAAAATATCGACACAAAATATTACTTCATTTTTGTGAAAAACTAGTGTTTTAGACGTGGGAAAAACCAGATAACAGATGCTACTTCCTTTCACAGAAGAGAACATCCTCTGACTTTCCCTTATCTGGTTAAAAATCTCGCTCAGATGGGAAATGGTTACCCCTCATTCATCCCCCTTTCGTCTGTTCTCATGAAAGAGTTACTGGCCGATGATTGGTCGAAATTCAGGAGATATAAGGGAATTTAGTCCGAATTCGGGGAGTTCTTCGACAGATCCGAAGCGTCAAAACTCCACGCAGTTTTCCTCCTGATGACCAACGCCCTCAACGGAGTCCCATAGACTAAGTCCCGAGTCTACACGTAGAAGTGATACTTTTATATTTTGTGCACGTATTGATCTCCCATACGAAAGTAATATGAACTCTATCTACAAGGTGTCCCTTACCTACAGGGAAGAAGACGACGACAACTAAACAGGTCGTATGTTTTGGAATGATTTTGTGAGCTCTCTCTCTCGATCGCGCATTAGCATAGAGTAAGTCTTAGCCTATAGCTTGTCGCTTCCTTGTCGTTCATCGATTATTTGTATTCGTTTTGTTTTAGAATTATTAAATTTACTTTTGTTAAATATACTTAAATGTCTCTTCAATTGATTCCGGATCAGATCGCATACGCGTGTTAATCCGCGTATAATAAGATTGATTAACTGGTGTCGGGAACCTGACGAGCATCTGAACTTCGCCGTTCAGATCAATTTTGATACAACGCCTTCCTATAAAAAGATTAGAGAGCCGATCACACGATCATGCGCCAGTAAGTGATATAGGTAATTTACTTATACCCTTGGTAACTCTCACAATTTCATCAGTAAATGTTTTAACTGTTTTACATAATTTTTGCAGAGGTATATCCTCCAATAAATTTTGGAGGATATACCTCTCTGATGGTCTCTGCAAAGAAAGACTGGTTTTGTTCCTGGTGATTGGTCATGACAGAAAGGAAGAAGATTTAGTTTCTTCAAATTTTTAATTTTTTTAAATACATGTAAGATTTCTTCATTATTATTTTGACATCAATTGCAACTTCGTCTTGTTGAATGTGTATATATGTGTATATATATATATATACACACACACATATACATATATGTATATATATATAATTTAATAATTAATTAAGTATTACTTAATTATCATAGCACTTCACTTATAAGACTATTTTTTCTTCCGCTATTTTTCAAATTTTCTTTAAATTCAAAAAATTTCAAATTTTAAAATTATGTTCAAACTTTCTATTTTATCAAATTAAATAAAACTAATAGTATAAAAATTATTGATTACTTACTTCTAATTGTTTTGCAAGTGTTTGTTTGTGTTTCAAGGCATCATCTGAACTCTTTTTGTTATCTGTTTGAGCTCCAGAAGTAGTTGCATTATTACTTGAAGCAGGAGTAGGAGAAGAAGTTCGACGTCTTAAAGAACTAGGCAAAATAGTATCTGATGAAAATGGAAAAGCAGTAGTTGGCTGAACTGTATTTCCAGTTTCACTACTTGTTTGAGGACTCCTCTTAACCAAAGCCTAAAAATCAAAAATATTATAGAGATGGGAAGTATCAATTTATGAAAGATAAGCATTTCCTAATAAATGAATAAGAGCTAAAAAATTATTCAAACTTCAGAACAATTTATCATCATCAACTTAAACATGTATAATTTATACCTGACAGCTACCATCTTCTTTAGCTCCACAATCACAAAAGAAAGATCCATATTTTGCATATGTAACATCATGATCCTTGTGACAAACTTTAGCACAAATTGTACACACACCTACACCATCCACCATTTTGCATGTATGGCAATGATACCTATGAATAACAAAATAATTATAAATTTTTAGACATTAAATAATAAACTAAAAAATTGTAATTATAGCAAAAATAATAAAATGGAGTAATGATGTCAGAAAAATGTATAGAAAGTTTTAGGGTACATTTGTAAAGTCGAACAAGTTAAATGCATTAGTAACAAATCGTTCAAAAAGTAGTAGTCTTGCTCAGTATGCATGCTCTGCGGCAACAATGTTTTGAATGAGACTCTAACGAAGTTCACAAAGGAAAGAGTTAGTTCACTTCATTAAAAAAATGGTGCCTAATGATATCAATGTTTCTAAATCTTCTCTCGAGTGTACTAAGAATTAAAAGGGGTGAAATGATAGACATAACTGTCCACCCAAAGCAATCTAAAGACTATTTCAGATAGGGCTGTACTAGCAAGATTCATATCTTCAATTTTAGACACAGCCATTTAGTTATAAACGAATTGGTCGAAAAGTCTAACAAAATAAGAATAACAATGACATCATTCTCATTTAACTTGTTTGACTCTACAAACGTACCCTTAATCTATTTATTTTACAAACAACCAGAATGTCCCAAGGCTAGTAAGACCTTTGTCAAGTGACATGACAAATACCACAATGATGATAAAAGTTACAAATATAATAAAAAATAAATACAGATGATGAATGTTATGACTTGGGCTATTATTCCAGGTCGTGGATTAGTTTTTGTGAAAAATTTTTTTGGCCTAAAGGGACTGTATCTGTCAGTTTTTTTGGTGATGGCAATAAGAGTTCATTTAAATGTATCTTATTATTTGAGTTTTATTTCCCTCATTACACTTCTTTAATATTGTCCATGCCTTTTGTATATTTACTTAACATAGCAGTATGTTTATATCACTTAACAGAATTCTCAGCTTTGTTGATATAAATAGATTCCTATTGTGGAGTCATTCCTTCATAATCTGTAGTGTCTTCATCTTGGTCTAAAATTCAACATTTCCTGTGAGTACTGTTTTCATTTTGACAGTTCATCTATGAAATGAAGTTAGTTGAAGTTAGATATTTTATTGAGAATGGCCATCAGATTTTCTGTTGCTAGACAACTTTGTTAAATAATAAAAACAATAGGTAATGAAAAACTGCTGTTTGTGTATGTTAATAGATTGTAATATTTACTTCTTTATTGATTGATCTCAGCCACTTCTGTCTGAAGATAAAAAAAAATTAAATATGTATCAGATACAACAAAATTGAACATTAGAAAAGAGGATTAGAAAATCTGCATCTCTGAATGTAAAATGACAAAAAAGACCTACAATATACTGGCAAAATTTTACAAGTCCTCCTCTCATGCACATATTGCATCATTGCAGTTGCAATTTATGAACAATTTAATAATGTCTGACAAGATAGTGTTGACATTTTTCTCAGTTGTAATTGGACAACAGCAAAAAAAATTAGAAAATACAGGCAGAAAGATCATTGTTGATGATATTACCTATCAAATGTTCATCCATCTTTCAGGTAACTACAATCCCATTTGTCCAGTGGTTCCCAAACTGTGCATTGTCATGGGCCAGGCTAGCTATTATTTTTATTATTAGTGATATATTGACAGTGTTCCTGCAGTACATTTTTATATACCTTTTTAAATAGTGTGTCTTTTTCTTTCTTTTCTTTGTTTCAGAATGAATTTATATTATTTCCCTATTAATAAGAAACAGTTTCTTACAGACATTTTTACTTGTCTTGTGATTACAAGTTAAAATTTGTAGTCAATGCACATGTGGTATATGAAAATAATTGTACTATATATGTTTTATATATAGCCAACGGTCACAAAGTTTGGAAACCATTGCATTAGTCCAACAGCTATACCACCTTGAAGATGGACAACTTATAATCTATCTCAGATTCAGTTAATTGTGACATCACAAAATGACATAATGAATAGCCTAAGTAATAAAACGTCTTTACACATTGACCATCCCACTGTTTGGAAAAGCTTATGTTTATATTTTATGAAAATTTAATAGTCTTTATAATATAATTTTAAGTATTAACTTAAAAATATTTTTGAATAGTAACTTAATTTTCTGATGATTTGATTCAAATTTATGACTATGAAGAAAACCTTTTAACTGATGAGAAGTTTATCTTTATAAGAAATTTTTGATTTCTGGCATCTCCATGTCCAAGTCAGTTAATGATTAAAGAAGGTTGCTCTTGATCCAATAAATAATCAATCACCAAAAATTTTTCTTCAATATTTTGTGTGTTATGAGCACAGTCCCTCCATACATTAGATATAACATTTATTGCTTCTTCCAAAAATTCTTTCATGTCAGCAACTTTCCAGGTTGTATTCTGAAAAGCTATATATATTTTAATTTGACTCCCTATTCATTTAATGTTCACAGTGGTAATATGGGAATCGTGGGACAATGTAACCAGCTTCAGCTGCAATTTTATCATGTTGATAGCTGTCAAATTAGTGTTGATGAGCACAAATGATTTCTACCAAGTCAGGTTTCATCACTTCTGGCTTCCAACTAATATTTTTGCTATTATGTTTTTATTTTTAAATATTTGTTATAAAATATAAATTAATTTTTAAAAATATTTAATGTTTTTTCATTCAAAAAACAGTTCTTGAAGTAGTGAAAGTATTAAGTATCAGTAAAGGGGTATAATTATGTCTTTAGTTTATTTTTTTGCAAATACTGTGTGTGTGTGTGTGTGTGTGAATGTCATTTATAAAAAAATTAAACCTTAAACAGTTCAAATTATGGAAAAAGGGCATGAATTTTAAAGTCTGAGAATTCAAAAATTAACATTTTCTAAGAAAATTTATTTACATTAGTTTGGAGATAACATGTAAAAGAATGAAGTCTAATAAATAGGATAAAATTTACAAGAATCAACATGAGATATTATACACATTTATTTTAAATAATTCAGAGAAAAATAAATCATTCCTCATACATATATATGTTACTGTGAATGACCGATATCTGGCAAATGTCAGCATTCACACAGTCGTTTCGTGTATGTACGAAATATTTGCTAAATATCATTATTTCTCACTTACACCAGCAAATGTTGACATTCAACATGCGCTGATGGTGAATGTTGAATAAATATATTTTTATTACGTTAAGACAAAAATGCAACTTTTTAATATATCAAAATAGGAGAAAGCTTAAGTAACAGTGCATGTAAATAAACTGTTGAACCTAAAACGAACAGTACATTCTTAATCATTAAAGAAAATAATACATAAATAAACTTACACATAAATTACGTGATTAAAGTTATACAATCTTATTTATTGCAACAACTTAAAACTGTTATGGCACTTTGAATTGCACAAGAGTCCCTTGCTTTTACAACTGCATTTATTTGTGGAACACTTCTTTTTGCAATGACAACGTGTATAGCCTTGCCCTCCACTTTTTGAATTAGCTGCAGCTGCTTCTCTTCGTGATATTTCTCAAGAAGAAATCTCATCTATGGAAAATAAAGTTCCTTTACAAATTACAAACTGATTACGGGTATAAAGCTGCTTGAGAGTACCATTTTTGTTCACTAATTTATAAAAGTTGGAGTCTTCTATTTTAACAAAAACCGCCAACACATTTCGGGCATCTGTATGGCCATGGTTGACATCAGGGACTTGTATTCGTATGATATCACCAATTTCAGCAGAAGGAAATGGCAAAGAATTTAGTGACAGACTGTCACCTCTCTGTCGACATCTGTTTCTCGGGTGTCATTTCGACCTCCACCAAAGCTTATATGTGCTTGTCGACATACACTGGCGATTGTTCAAATGTATAATAATATAATTAAATATTCAGTCTTTCACCGACATATTTTGTACGTGTCGACATTCACCGGAGAATATCGACATTCTCTAATTTCGGTCTTTCAAAGTAACATATACATGCCTAACAAACAATGTATACATAAAACAAAATTAAATTTTAGTCACCATTTTATTTCTGGAACAATAATTTAATCAATAAAATTTTAAAACACTAATTTTTAAAATCTAAAAATCAATGATTTAAAATCAGATAAAAAACTTACCAATGCTGATTCATGAATTCTTTTTGAGTAATTGTGAATGTACACAGCTTATTACAAAGTGAATCTTCATCCTATTTTGCAACAAAAATAAAAATGTAAGTATGAATTTTTTTTAATATGAATTATTAAGTATTTTTATTTAATAAAATTACAAAAAGTAAATAAAAAGGTGCAATGCATATGTATTTTAAGTGAAATTTCTTTGTATTTCCTTACTAAATGTATAAACTTTTAGGTATCTTCCACAGTGGCTTCAAGACAACTGAGAACCCACAAATGAGGAACTGAGCATGATGATTACAGAAAATAAACATGAGAGTGAAGAGGATAATGATGATGAACAGGAGAAAATACTAAATCTGCCAACAACAGCTTACAAGCTTTCAAAAATATACAACTCTATTGATAGCTTGTGCAAGAAGTTCCTGAGCATAATCTTAAGTTTAAATGAGCTTTGGAATCAACCTGATTCCTGTATGCCGAAGTCTCAAAGGATATGAATAAAAAAAAGTCTGTCAAGTAACATTAAATCAGTTTTTAAAACTGTTATAACTCCTCCACAACTGTCTTAAAATGTAAGTCTAATGTTTTTAATATAATTAAACATATGAATAACATAAATTAACTTGTTGAATCATCTGCAAATATTTAAATATTCCAAAGACAGCAACGTGTTCAGCCACATTGACTCAACCTGCAGGAACCCAATTCAATTTTCTCATTGGCCTTCCTAATTGGTATTCACAGATTTCCACAGAATATAATCCTCCTGAATATGGGAGTTATATATATATATATATATATAAGGCTATAAGTATCATTGTTATCAAGTGAACAAAAATAAACTTTGAATCTACAATTCATTGAATAAAAAATAAAGTCTAAAAAAATTACTACAAAATAACAATAGAGATTATTAAATTATTATTAACTGTCTCTAAGTACTACTTACTGAATCTTCTCCAGCACTTTCTTCATCATCAGGGCCGATTTCTTCTGCCCAATCAGATTCCATTTCAGGATGATGTAATTCCCCATCACAGAGTGGAGAAGCAGCTCCATTGCGACTGGAAACAGAACTTCTAGAAAAAATTAATTTTTTTGTAAACATTAAGGGACTATAGTTTGAGATATACAATAAGTTGAATTACAACTTAGATCATACCATGTTTAAACTAAAAATGAAACTAAAATAGCTTTGAAGTCTTAGAACTTGAAATATATTTATGCAATTTTCAAATATTTTATTTTCAAATACATTCACACAAATTTATCATTAAAATGGTTAAAACAAATTTTTGATTTAGACTATTTTATTTATTATATTCTTTTATTTTTAAAAATAAGATTCAACTTTCTAACATCATGAAATTACATAAAGGTTTATGTTAGAGATGCAAAATTTTTTAAAGTACATAAAATTCATAATTATCATTACTTCAAGCATATATATATATATTAGCTTCTAAGAACATACTAAAATATATATATATATTTATTTAGTATGTTCTTAGAAGCTAATAATGTATATAACAATAATGTAAAGTCATTAATATACTTTCTGAAATATGAAATAAGTGCAACTATCTTAATTTCTTCCAGACATTGTATTGCCTATTTCTGCTAACTCCTCAACATTTCAAAAATGATTGTTTTTCAATCAGTCATGATCTGTTTGATGTAAGAAATTCATTGAAACTTCTAAATATTTCTTCTACAGTAGTAAATATATTACCTGCAGCAGAGTAGCAAATCTTCAGCAATTTTCTTGCCATATACAGTACTTATTTCATGTAAAAGTAACAAGATTTGTTGGCAATGTCTATATTTTAATCTAATTGGAAACTAAATTACTGATTTACAACAATTCTTTTTTTGGACTCAAGAATTATGTTCTTTGAAATATTGTAAAACATTGCTATTAAATAATGATATCAAATTCAAATCTTTGATTTCTTTATTCATCCAAAATTATGGAATGCAAAGTTAGTAAAATCAATTTTTCAGTACCTATATGAAGTTTTTCCATTTCCATTTGTATATATATATATAGTGTTGTTCAGAAAGTAATTTTGTTTTTTTTCCATGGAAAATAACACAATATTTTTATAATAAATAAATATTTTATTGAATTATATATCAACCATTTTGGTCAAATACCTGTTGTCATCGTTTCTGGTAGTAGCATGATTTCACATTCATAAAAGTTTTGATCGTTGCTTACAAAAACTGATCCAAGTGATTTTTGACATTGTCATTTCAAGTAAATGTCTTACAGTTAAAAAGAATTTGTATAGACTGGAACAAGTAATAATCTGAGTGTGCTCGATCTGGTGAATATGGTTGATGTATAGGCATGTCCTATCTAAGTTATAACAGTTTCTGACGAGTTACCAAACTTGTGTGAAATTTGACATTATCGTGAAAAAAACTCTACATTTGTTTTGTTGATGCCTTTTCTGTTTGATGATACAGTAGACTCTCGAAAACTCGGCACTCCTGATAACTCGGCCATACCCTGGCAGGGCAAAAAAATCCTTAGTTAGTTAATTTTCATCATAGACAGCTTTATGCCTCATAAAGTATTTTTCTGAGGTCTGTCTTATCTGATAAATTACTGTACACAGTGTATTCATTAATTTTCATTTTCATGTAGTAAAGGCTCTATGTCTTCATAAAGGACGTACTTTTCCTTTGTTTAAGGGTATTTGGGCAGTTTATTCTCTGTTGTATTCTCAAGTAAACAATACATACAAATACAGTACAGTATTTTCTGAGGAAACACTCATACTTAGTTTTTTAACCCCATTCCTGATAACCCGGCATTTTCACAAACTCGGCCACCCTTTGATCCACATTAGGCCGAGTTTTCGAGGCTCTACTGTATTACTCAATTTGTTTACTCAATGGCAGTACACTTTTGAATCAATTGTTAAATTGTCTGGTAAAAGCTCCAAAAAAAAAGTTCCTTAAAATCCCACCAAAGAGAGCATCTCTCTTTAAGAACATGTGGAACCCATATATCAAGCTTTGAAACGAAACCAATCTATTTCAAGTAATCATAAACAGTTCAATTTGACAAATTTAATCTCTTAGTGATTTCATGTGTTGTTAGTCAGCAGTTTGCTTCAATCAGTGCTTTTATTTTGTTTTCATTGGCTTCAATGGCCATCCAGTACGTGGTGCATCTTCAATATTGAAATTGCCAGAACAAAATTTTGTAAACCAGTTTTGGCACCGTCTTTCTCTCAACACATCACCTCCATACATGTACCACAATTTTTTTCTTGCTTAAAAAGCATTTTGATTTTTTGGTAATAAAGAAGCAAAATATGCCAAAAATGATGCTTTAGCTCTTCCATATTTGATGGGACACAAAAAAATAAACAATTGCACAGAATCAAACAACTTTTTTTACAAATAAGCCATAAAATGCTAGCTATCAAAATATATAATGATAATATGGTTTACAATGAAAATGGTGGAAAAAATATGACTAATCCGTCTAGTGGTAAAAAAAACGAAATTACTTTCCAAACAACCCAATATATATTTCATAAAAATTTTTCAACTTCTCAAATAACAATTCATTGTAGTTGTCAAAATAAAATATTATGAAAGCAGAAAAATTTTATGAATTTTGATTCATAACAGTATTTAATTTAAAAATATACTTTAAAATCCATAATTTGTAATAAAAAAAATTTGTTTTAGTCTAGAAAAATATCCAATTTAAATAATTGTCAATGAAATGATTTCAATATATATCATTTGCATATATTTAAAACCGCATTATCTCTTGTTTTTTCTTTCATTACTTAAATACATAATATAGCTGATGACTAAATGCTAATTTGTCTGTGAAACTATGAATCAAACAATGTAACAAGTACAGTTTCATATGTTAAAACTGATTTAATGTAAAAAAAATCATGTCTTGGTACAAGCAAGTCTTAAAATATCTGGAAAGTAATTAAAAATAAAAAGGCTAGAGTTACATAAATTATGCAAATTATAACACAAACATTGCTTATTAAATTTATTCTAAATTTGTTCCAATCATCATCATCATAATGAAATTAATTCAATTATAAATATGATAGTTACATTAAGAAAAATATAAATTACATAATTTGATGAAAAATTTCTCACCTTTCTGACTGAAATCTGAGAGCACCAACAAGATCTGCCATATATGATAATAGATAACATGAAGATTCCATCATAATTTGATGCTGAAAAAATTAACACATGCTTTCAAGTATCACTAACAATTTAAGATAATCTTTTAAATTTTCAAAAAAATTGTTTTGAAGTTGTAAAATATAAATATTACTACATAACTTTTTTATATGAATTCTGCAATAAAAAATTTGCTGATTTTCTTTTGTTTATTTTATAGTATTTTTATTTTCTTATATACTAAAACTAAACTTTAATTTTTTTAGGATCTAAAATAGAGAATATTATATTAGTTTTAATATCAATATATATAAGATTTTTTAAATTTTTTATGAAAATAATTTAATTCTTAAAGCAGTGAACAAAATTTTAAAATGTTGATTTTAAATGATGAATGCATTATAAAACATTTTATCACAAAAATTAAAAATATATATATTTTTTACTTATCCTATTATGAAAAATTAAAATTTTTTAACAAAACTGAATATAACACATATTTAACATATTTTCTACACTGATAAGCTTTTCATTTTATTAAATTTAAATAAATGTTTAGTTTCTAAAAGACAAACTTGTATCTACTGATGTGATTTTTAAATCTTCATATGAGAATTATTATGAAAGAAAGATAAATTTTGTATAATATTATAATATATATGATATGCTTTCTGAATAACACTAACTCTTTTATATAATAATAGATACTGATAAATTTCATGTTTTTACTTAGTAGTATCTCAATTCTATAATGCTAAAGCGATGCATATTGGGAAATAAAAATAACTTAAACATTTGTTTTAATCTTGTTTTTAAAGAATCTTATAAAGAAAACATATCATTTACAAAAATGCAATTAAAAAAAAAATTATATTTTGATTAAGTTAACTAAAAGAATGCTAGAATTACCAAAAGCATTAAGAAACACCATGTAACAACTAACCCAATCTACATATAGTATTTATAGTTTCTCATATTCCTACAAATCATAAAATGAATAATTAAATATTTACTTTATTTCAAATTTATTGAGTAAAACAAACTTATTCATTCTGTTCAATAAACTTGAATAATTAAAAGCTGTTCTACATTCTATAACTGATGATGAACTGACAAAAAAATCCTTCCAAGTCAAAAATTTGGACTCTTATATTTCAGAATGTATTTTTACCATTAATAGCAGAGCTGATATTTAAAAATAATAATTTTATTTTAGGGTTTAGGTTTATTCGTTTATGGCAATATGACACATGAATAATCTACTAAGGGGGAACCTCATGGGAGGACTTTCTACGGAAAATTGGCCTCTATTTAGGTGTTACAAAGAAAACACATAAAAACTTGCACCCAACCTGGTGGTGAGGCACAAACCCATAACCAACAATTGGTCTTTAGGGGTTTTTGTCCGCTTGGCCTTTAGTAGGTTCATTTTATTTTAGAATCTCAGCTAAACAGTATTTATAAATCATGTGTTTAAAAAGCTTGCTGAATTTAAAAAGAATTTCATTATTTAAAAATGAAAAAAACATACTCTTCCACCAGTAATATTTTCTTGGAGCTTTTCCAAAACATCCTTTTGAGCAAGGTATTTCTTACTAAAAGAGAAAAAATTGAAATGGTAAATATCAATAAATTTTGTAAATATCAATATATAATGAAAAATGACTATAATAAGACTCTTCATTTGCAGAAAAATATTGATATGAACATTTAAATGTAAAACACTTATTTTCAAGTGAATAATTTATATATTTTTATCTTCATTGATAGAATGACAAACTTCAATTAAATATAAATTATTTTGAAATTTTTACAAAAATTAGTTGTGGTAAGAAACTTCATAAATTTTCCTTCTAAATTAGTATTACATTACAGTGTATTATTTTAAATATATGATTTAATTTTATTTATTATGAAAATTTCACTTTTTAAAATATTTTTGGTTACATTTAAATGGAAAAAAAAACTTGAATTTTTTTTTTAGAGAAATATATAATTACCATAATTCCAACCATTCAGTTGCAGCTTTAAATAATTGAACGTGACCTCCACCTGAGCCAGCACCAGCAAGTGTTGCCATGATAACTATTAATTCGGAAAATCCAATTCCTTCAGATGCAGGTGAAAGAATTTGTGATCCCATTGGTATTAGAGCAGATAATATAGCATTAGCAACTTCTTCACGAACAGCACTAAAAATACATCATCAAAAATATTAAAATATAATTTTTTGTTTATCATTATAATCAGATAACAAGTTTGATATTTATTTCAAATTGCTTAATTAAATTTAAAATTTTAATAATTTGATTTATAAAATTTAATTTTATATAAGATATTTTATAAGTTCAATAGTCAAATTTAAATACATTATGTGAACACATTATATTATATCTTATTATATATAATAAATTTATAGACAATTATTCTAGATTGTTTGTTTGTTTTTACACTTATGTAAAAAGTTTATAATAAAAATACAAATTTTTATCATGAAATTATTCATATTCAATTATAGTTTCTAGCATTAAAAATATATCTGACATTTTAAAAATTACTTGAGTATAACAACAAAAAATTAAAAACTACATAATACTAAAATTAATGCATTAGTTCTTGATGTTACATTAAGTAATTAGTAAAATTATTAATATGAGGTTGGTTTGACTATGACAAAACTGGGTTATTCTATAGTTAACTAACATTAAGTCTAAAATTCAAATTCATTCTTTATACAGGGAAATTATAGTAGTTTCCTTATACAGTAAAGATATCATCTTAAAATAATTCTGTAATACATCTTTAAATTTAGAAGTATAATTTTGATTGAAAATCAAAAGACTCTTAACTTAATTCTTTTTTCTTTAATATAAATTCTTTAATTCTTTTTTATTTACAAGTCAAGCTTACATAATTATTTACTAAATATTGTTTTAAGTCTATTTATAAAATTTTCATTATTATATGTCAGTTCACATTTGCATTAACTAATTTGTGCAAAATATTTATGTACAGTGGTACCTCATACTTCAAATTTAATTCATTCCAAGAGGCCATTCAAACTTCAAATCAATTTTTCCCATTAGAAATAATGGAAAGCAAATTAATCCATTTCCCAGACCATAAACAATACCTATTTTGGTAAACTTAAAACAGCAAATACACATAATTTAAGATAAAAATAACACAATTAAATGTCCTATTAATATTAAAACATAAATAAATAATTAAAACATAAAAGAAATAGTGTATAAATTCTGTATAATAAAATGTAAATTGCATTAATTAATCACATACTGTTGACTTTGAAATCTTAAGCATAGCCACCAGATGCCACATGCATACTATTTTTATGTTTTGCGACAAATTCCTTTCTCATTTCAATTGTTGATATTACAGCCTTCCTCTTACTTGTTAGACTTTGTTACTTCCACACACTTCTTGGATGCTATGATTAATAAGTAAAAGTGATATTGGGTTGAACAGAATGTTTTTACATATTTTTAACAGGTGTCATTACTTAGCATTAATGTGTGATTTAATTATAACAGTTAAAAAATTTAACATATTATTGCTAATTTGAAATTGTATTCTTTATTTAGAAGCTTATTTTAAGCTTTGAGTGCATTTTTTACTGTGCTGCAGTTTGAACTTTAAAGGATCATTTGAACTCCAAAGCATTCGAAGTACATGGTACCACTGTATTTTAATTTTGTAATGGTTTTTGTAAGTTTATATATTTTCTATGACAATGGTTTGTTTAAATTATAATTTTAAACAATGATCTTTTTACCTTTGAATGCTTATTTTCATCTAAACATAATAAATATATGTAGTTCTCAAAAACATTAAAGACTGATTTTTATCTTGAACTTATTCAAGAACAAAGCATTTTGGTATTCTTGAACTTTATTTTTTTTAATATTTCTGAATTATATGTAGTAAGAGAGTAAATTACTTGTCCAAATGTCATTAACCACTCAGCAGTGAAGGACAGATATATCTGTCCAGGGCGATCGTGTGGCAATGGTGAAGGACAGATATATCCGTTAAATTATTTTGGGGGCATCGCCAAAAACTACCGCAAAAAAAAAAAAATTTCACCTAAAAATGAATTATGTAACAATAAAAAAAAGACATTTCTTTACTAGACATAACTGTTTACAAAATCTTTTTTTGAAACGGTAATGAGAAAAAAATGTGTGAAAAAATACTTTAAAAATTTCCCACGTTTATTTTCCTGGGGTAGAACTGGGTAGTGGGGGTAGAACCATACCTGACTAGTCCACTCTTGAAAGGTTAAATACAGAATACCCCTCACAAATTATTGGAAGTATATAAATTATGTATAATTTTCAGTTTTTAAAATTTGTCAAAAATATTAAAATTTTTATAGAATTTATCAAAACAAACCTGCTTAATATATTTACCTGTTTTCCTTTACAATATATGAAGTTAAACTCTGAAGTAATAATCTGTTTTCCTGAACACTATTGCCTTCTTCTGTCTTTAAAAAATTTATTATTATTATCATCATCATCATCATCATCATCATCATTTACTCAAATAATTTATCACTTATTACAATAATTAAGATCTAAATAAATTATCTTAAAATATTAATTTATGTTATGCAGTTAAACATTATAGTTTGTGTTTGTAATCAGAGAACTACAGTCAATAAACTTGTGAATTGTTAATTATAATCAATCATCGATGATATAAAATAATATCCTTTTTATTTGCGTTTAATAGTTACAAGTTAAAATGATCAAATCTCGAATTCTATAAATATTACCATAAATAATTTTAAAACAAAACAAATAAATTAATGAATCTGATCATTTAGATTACAGATAAGGATTTTACCATTTATTAGTTACATTAATAATGAAGAATATATAAATTATAGCCCTCTCTTGAAATTTTAAAACAAAACAAATTAATGAACTCACTTATTGGTTGCTAAATATCTATCCCAACCACGGATGATATTCCCATACAACTGTGTATCTTCTAAATAACTTCCTTCAAAGGCATAGATCTGTCTTTCAAGATTGGCTAATGTCTCCTGAAAAAAGATAAATTATAATTTGTAGAATTTAATAATNAATGATCAAATCTCGAATTCTATAAATATTACCATAAATAATTTTAAAACAAAACAAATTAAATTAATGAATCTGATCATTTAGATTACAGATAAGGATTTTACCATTTATTAGTTACATTAATAATGAAGAAACTTTTAAGAAATTTAATTAAATTTAAATCAAGAAAGGTATTTCAATTTAGAATAGTCTCTAAAATTGTGAATAAGTTGTCAATAATATCAATACTGCAAGTTTAAGTTCTCCAAAAATACAATAAATTCATAGTAATATACAAGATTTATTTTCTTTCCTAAACAAATTAAAGTCTCAATACGTTGGCAGTCATCCTAGAACTTTTTTAATACAGATAAACATTTTAAGTGGTTTCTCCCTCCTCATATTCCAAATTCTAAAGTTAATAAAAGAATAAAATTTCTAAACATTTCATTATAACTATCACCATCGTAAACTATAATTTGGGATTGGTTAAGAACATGGAACTTTGATAGAATAGAACATGTGGGTAGAACAAATTTCAAATAATTCAAAGTATTATATAATTCAGTTAATTATAAAATAGTGCTATAAATATATAGTTTAACATTTTTATTCCAAAACTCTTTTTGTGACCTATAAATAATTATATTATGCAGTATGTCATTTATCAATAGTCTATAATTTACTATTAAATACCATATTGACCCATATATAAGCTGATTCTCAATTCTTAATGATCACTTGATTGCTATACTCCTAGAAGTAAAATAAATAAGTTACCAAAATAAAATTTCTATAGAAGTTTCCAAAATGGATTGATTTCATCAAATAGGATAAAAATAATCAGCTTAGTTGTTTTTTCAAAGACAAGTGATTATTAACAATCATGCCTAACACTTAATGTCTCCTCAGTCAATTTTTTGCAGAATGTCCAACCAAAAAAACGTCAATTTTTTATCATTGGTATGCACCATATACTTAATTTTTATGACAAAATATGCAAAAATTAGCTCTTACACTTTTTCAAAAAAAAAATAATTTTGTTTATTTATAACTTGTATAGTTTTATTTATTATTTTATTTATTATTCATAAATAAATAATTGACACACGCCAGAAGAATACAATAATAAACTTTCTACAAACCTATAACCAGCATGAAATATGTTCAATTGCTTATGCTAACGTTTTCAGATCCCACTGGATCCTTCATCAGGATATGTTCCATTCGTAACGATCCGTTAGAATGCCAGCTGTCTTTGGAACAAAATTTCAAATTGGATTTGAAATTTCATTCCAAAGACAGCTGGCATTCTAACGGATCGTTATGAATGGAACATATGAATGGAACATCCAGTAGGATCCGAAAACGTTAGCGTAAGCAATTGAACATATTTCACGCTGGTTATAGGTTTGTAGAAAGTTTATTATTATTTATTATTCATTTAAAGATTAATAATAATAATAAATAAAACAAACAATTTTCATTATTTGTTTGAAAGTAAAACTACCAAAAACAATTTCCATAGATGCCATCAGATTCTGTAAGTAAACTAAATTTTCCCCACCAAAAACCACTAAATAATTTTTGTAACACTGCCATCTATTGGAGAAATAGTGAAATAATCCTTTATCATCAGTGAATGCATCAGAAACATTAAAATTAAAGTTTTTAAAGCATTTTTCTTAATGACATATATCAAAGCCAAAAAAGCAATTACTGCATATGAACATATGGGATGCAACAGTGACTGAGAAATGGTTAATTCTCATGCATAGTTTGTAGGTTGCCGCATAACAAGTCACAACTTAGCTGGCATTTAGCAATGCTAAATGCTGAATGTTAGTGTCACTTTAACCCAGTACAATGTTATCACAGAGTTATCAAAATAAATAAAACTAAATCAAACTCACATGTAAGTTGAGGCATGATTATCCACAAGTTTCCAGAATGTGTTTTCAAATTCTGCCATACAAAGGCATATGTCTTATCAGTCATTAATATACTGCTATTTGTTAGTGTAGGTCTACAATTTTTAATTTTTCATTAATGATATGCTTTAAAACACCAGTTCAGGTAGATGATGTGCAGTGGTTGGCTTCCATAATGGCCAGTGTGTTCTTTATAAGTGGTTTAAAGCTATATGTGATGTATACAAAAACATGATGCATTGAGATTGTAAAATTACAGAAGCCAATTTTGCCAATTATTTTCCAGAAACAAAAAATAAAAAAAATTAGGATTCAGGTGTTCTTAATTTAATTATACTTTAAATTTTTATTAATTTATGCATGTAGTACACTTTTTTCTTTACATTAGACAAAATTTAACTTGTGTAAAAATGATGAAAATATTCTTTATAATTTAATATATAAAAACCTTTATAATTATTAATAGAGTGGGTGTTATGAGTGAATTTCTATTAGTAATCTCATAATCAATTTATATTCTCAATTCTATAATTCTACAGTTCCACAGTTCTTGCAGTATCTTAATGGTGGCGCAGTATGGGGAAAATACATGAACCTTCTCTGGAAACGTATGGATAGATTGAGAACAATTTTTTGCCCATTTAAAAATGGAAAAATAACATCAACTAATTTTCAGGTCAATACAGCATATCTTTAACTTTATATTATACCAAAATAAAATTTTTGTACTGCATTATTCATAAGTTTATTTAAATTTGTAAAGTGTTTTTTAAATATTCCTATTCTAGATTGTCATAAAACTATCTAAATAAATATTTAAATTCTTCCCTAAATTATAACTATTATTTTTCACATTGTAGGGNTATACATACATATAAAAAAAATTTTTAACTTTTTGTACATATTTAAAATGTTTTACGTTTCTAATATTAACCACAAAAAATTTTATATTATAAGATAACTTTAAGAGCCTGGTAAATGAAATTTGAACACACATGAAGCCAAATTACCTAAGTAACATATTAAAACAACCATCTTTTGGAGTTAAAACTGGAAAAGTGTAAATGGTTTTGAGTTTGGAAACAAATTCTTAAACTAGTTTTTTCCTATTATATATGAAAAATAGTGAAAAAGTGTTATTTTCAATATTTTAAATTAAAATAAATCATGTAAATAATCTTAAAAATTAATAATGCAAAATACAATTGAATAATTTCACTTTTTTTTAAATTCAAAACATTTTTCATGTTCTAAAGGTTCTAAATTTAAAACTTACTTTGTTGAAACAATTTACTAAAAAATTTTAAAACTCTGGTGCCATATGTAGGACTAAGACTGCCATTTGCTGCTGATAACAAAATATTAATCATGTCTGAAAATAAAATATTAACAATTTTTAAAATAGAGAGTAAATTAGTATTGGTACATTTTCAAATTATTAAACAAATCTAAATTACGAGTTTCTGTTATAGATTTTAACTTTTAACCTTTATTTAAAAACTATTAGCAAATCTAAAGCTACACAAATTTGTAACAGATTATTCAAAGAATATTTTAAAAGTAATGTAACAAATATTAATTTTATAGAGTGAAACCTCATTAAGGTGCCACCTTCATTGACCAGAAAAATAATAGGTAAACCTCTATGTCACAATCAAATCATACATCACCTAAGGGTAATTAGGAAAATTTGAATTGAAAAGAGATGGCAAGTGTAAAGTATTGACCCTTTTAGCAGAGAGGGAACAAAAGAAGCGCAACCTTGTCAATTGGACTCATGTGCGGTCAGTCAATATACTACTTGTAAGGTGTTGACTTGTAAACAGAAGGAAAACAAAGAAAGTGCTGACTTTGTCAATTGGACCCACCTGTGGTTAGACGATAGACCACTTGCCATATGGTAAACAACTGAATGTAACAAGTGGTAGACGTTTATGTAAGCTCCACTCTCATCGGATGACGGCGGACCCGAGTGTAAGCTGTTCAGGCAAGAAAGAATTGTGATTGGTCAGAAGTCCCTGTCCAAAAAACCCTTAAATTGTGGGGCAAACGAGAGAAGGAGGAGAGAAGGGCAAGAGACGTGTACCAGTCTCTTGCCCTTCTTGCAGGTAGTCACTTGGGATACCCACTGAGCATAGAGAGAATGTTCTCCTCTGGTAAACATCTCAGGGACAAGTTAGTGCGGAGATTGGACGGACCGTGCAGTTGAGCCAACTCCACAAGCTGAGTGAGCCTCTCCAAAGTTTAATAGTTCCCGGAAACCAATCTAGTGAGTCACCACACATTGTTATCATATATATATATTATGTTTTCGAAATTGTACTTTCTGCATATAGAATCTAAATAAACTGTAAATATTATCAATATGAGTATGGAGGTGTGCTTTCCATCAAACCTGGATCACTACATCAAATCGTGATACACACGGAAACCAACTCAACCAAACAGAATTGAGAAAGAACATCACAAGTTTTTCTTCACTGCAAGTTTAAAACCAGAAGATTACTCAGAAACTTCATTTCTCCAATTACATCTAATCATTTTTCCCCCAATTATTTGATCTCTCTAAAGGCTCCTTAGTGCCCACTAAGGAGCCTTTCTTTCATGCCTATAATGTGTTTGGCCAGACTTAAAATGGGACACTGGATGGTGAGTGAAGAGGCCTAACATATTCAGGAGAGACAACTCAAATTCCAGGGATCCTCCACCTGTATTCAATCTGGTGGAGGATCCCAGAGTGGTAGACTGATGCCTTTACCAACATTCAGTTATCTAATTGGCAACATCCAATCATTTAAGCATTCTAACTTTTTAGATATTTTTTTCCTACTACTTGAAAAGAAACTTTAAACAAAAAGCAGAAATATAATTGTCTAAATTATCCTGAAAAATTCACATTTCCAGTTATTTTCACATAAAAACCAACTCAGACAATCTATAAATATTTAACATCTTCCTATCAAATTCATTTATTATATAAATCACACCAATAATAAAATAAAATATTTCAGCAGTAACATTTCTCTCTCCCTATTTTATAAACATTGTAAACTCTATAACTATTCCTTATGATATTAATGTCATTTCTGTATAAAAAAAACTGTTCTTCATATCAATGTTAATAAGTGAAATTATATGAATCCTATTCATTCCAAACTCACTCTTTCTTTCTTTATCATTTTATAGGTCAAAAGTTCTTAAATTTCTTATTTCTAATTTAGTCTTTAAATTTTCCAGTGTGACTGAATGACAAGTCAATAATTGCAAAAAAAATTATATTTAAAAGTTCTTAAATTTCTTATTTCTAATTTAGTCTTTAAATTTTCCAGTGTGACTGAATGACAAGTCAATAATTGCAAATCAAATTATATTTAATGTTTATTAGTTATTTTCTTTTGCAAAATAATTTACTGTATATCTGTGCAGATAAGACGATAGTTGAATCATAAAAAAAGACCTCCAAAATCCAGGGTTGTCTTATAGGACAGATACAAAAAAAATTAGATTGAAATTTATATGAATTAAAATCATTATAAAAACCAGAGAAACCATAATTATTTACTTGTAGAGAGTAGGGTATGTTCACAAAATACATTAGTCCATACAATGTTTTTGTTAATAATCAAGGTCATTATCCGAATGCCATTGACTATTCACAAAAGGTCATCACCTGAATCAGTGTGAATTTTGCAATAATAGCAAGGCAATGCTGTCAGATGAAAGAAAATAAAATTTGTTCATTTGAAAAATTACGAATAGGATATAATTCCGTATACGNACTACAAGGCGCGCTTCAGTCGGTTCCGAGCAACATTGCCAGATTTGGCTTCATTGCAATTATGAATATTACATAAAAAATTAATTTTTTACAGTGTGTCTTGGCAAGTGTATTTCTTACACAATTCAGTGCAATCGATCTGTTGACCTTGCATTCGTGTTCATGACGATGCATTCGTGTTCAAGTACACCACTGATGTCATATAGAACTATTTTATACGGGTAGCTACACTGCAACTTCATTTTTCATTGCTTGTTCTGTGGCAAATCTGAATTTTCGTCTTATAAATTGAAATACCTAAATAAGGGGTGGCCGAAATTTTTCTCCGCCCCGGGCTGCTAACACTCACGGTACACCACTGCGCATGTGAACTCGTCTATCAAAAAATTGGCGCATGGTATGCAAAAGGTTGGCCACCCCTGTGTACAGTATAATTTAAACTAGTTCAAATGTTGATAAAACAAGTCAATAAAAACAAGCTATATGGGCCAGAATGAAAAATATAAATATGCTTCAGGAACCATATTTGGTTCACAGGCCAAAGTTGGAGGGTCCCTAAATTACACACATTCATGCAAGGTTTAAACAATCTCACATGCAAAACCTTGCATGAACCTCTAACGTAAAATCTTGCATGAACATAGCAATAAAATAATCATTAAATGGCACTTGCATTGTAGAAATGGAAATAATACACAAGTACTAGTTGCTGATTATTTTTTTATAATCTTTACAAAGAAAAAATAATCAGAAACATAGTAAATATAAAACATACTTCATATAGTGTATAAGTTAAATTTGTGACAAAAACTTGTAACTTTATCTTATTTTCTTTTTTATAAACTCTGTGCTGTGGGCACTGAAAGAATCTACAATAATACCCAATATAAATTCAGCCAGACTCATAATGATGGTAGCAAGATGGTAATGAAGCCCAATATATCTAGGACAGCCCATCTGTGAAAAATTTCTAGGATTTATCATCCAGATTCAATCCTGGCCATCCAATAGAATAAAGCTGACTTCTTAATTGCCTTAGCCACCCGGCACTTAAGCTTTTAACTTATTGACACAAGATAAAGTAAGATTATCTTTATACTTGCCATAAAGCAACAAATTGTTTGGACTGGTAATTATCTGAATGCTTAAGAAACAGATCTGGAATTTCAATGTACTTCTATTAAACATTGTCATAAATACTGTCATACACTGTCATACTTAAACTAACAAACATAATTAAAAAAGTTTTTATTTGTGTGTGTGTGTGTGTGTGTGTGTGTGTGTGTGTGTGTTTGTGGTAATGTATCTTTTATTACTACATGTCTGATAATTGTAAATAGAAAAATTATCTCATTCTACCTTTATCTTCATTATCTGCAAAGAATTTTTCCAAAGCTTTTTTTCCAGGCGCTTTATCCAATAAACTTTCCATAAATTTTAAACATTCGTGTAATATACGCTCATCAACATCACTGTAAATAGTTTAAATTAACAAACAGCAAAAAATAATAAGAATTTATTCAAATTCAAAAACATTTATACTGTATAATTAAAATTAATGCCATAATATTGACTTTTAACAACAACAATAGATAAATCTTTATTTGGAGACTCTCCTCCATTTCACCATGAAAAAAGTGTTATAAGACAATAAGCGACCTTCTGGTTAGTTACAATTATAAAGTTGTAATTAATAAAGTTGTGCAAGCAAAACTAATGTTTTCACAATTTTAACAATTAACAGTTGCAAATAAAATTGTAATTAATTATAATTTTATTTGTAACAGTTTTTAAATACAATTAATAAAATTGCAACAAAATAGGAAAAAAACTGAATTTTATAGTGTTTTGTCTACATTTTAATTCAAAAGAAATTATTGTTCTGGGTTTTAATTATATTAAATATGCCATATTTACTTGAATAATCCATGCACTTTTACCAAAAAAATCATGACAAAAAGTTGGTGTGTAGTTTAATCAAAACTAATTTAGTGACACAAACTGTGCAGTTCAGGGAACTTTCATTTACCAGTTACTATACATTTTGCTGATTTTGTTAGTGATTAATATAGTCAACAGTTATGAGTAGAAATATTAGTTTTGGTATAATTATGATGGTGAAAATGAGGATAAATAAAGTTAAATATACAACTAAGACTGAAAATAAATATTATGCCTTTAATCTTTATACTTAAAATCTTTATGCCTATATCATTTCTTAATTTAAATTATTAGTCTTTTACCAGTTTTTGATCTTCAATTCAAATTAAACAATATAAAGAAGTCTCAGTTTCATTTAATTAGTAAGTTAATACATTATGAAATACATTATTACAAATTGCAGATAATTTATCTTTACCAGGTAAACAAATTTTTTTTTCCCTTGTATTTTTATTTTTTAATACCACACAGACTTGTAAACTGATTGCTACTATACTGAAGCCTATAACACAGTATAAATAATGGTTGATATATATATGTAAAATTAATTCTACAATTATCAGTTATTTTACTGATTTTTCATGATATTCTTATAATATTTTGTGTTAATGTAATTAAGTTCATATATTGAAACATTTATAAAATATAAAATTTCAATAAATAAAAATAAACTGTATTTATGATAAATGTTATATATGAACATTTCAAAGCCTTATGTATTGATACTAAGCCAAATTATTGCCATAATCAATCAGGCTTTAATTATGCTATAATTAATAATTGGAAAGAAAATAATTTGGTTCTAGAGGTAGATATTAGGGCCATCTAGAGGTTATAGCTATAAAGCATAGTTATAAGAGAGACCTGATACATAATTTAGCTCACACTTACTTCAATTGATACTCCCTAATCAACAATTCCAACAACCAGGATTCCAATAATGGTGATCAAACATATAACCTTAACCCCAGATACACGGTGATTAAATAAGACCATAGTTTACATTTCTTATACAAAGAAATTGCTGAAAAAGTGGGTAACTTACAAGCAGGTTAACCTACAAGCAAGTCTCCACGATTTATAAATTACTACACAATGGAAAAGACAAGGCCAATAAATGTAGGACTCCAGGAGTGTACAGTGTTCCAGTAAGGGATAACAGGTTTGAAAGAGATACAGTGTACATTAGGTCCATTATGCATTCCATACACAAAAGGATACAAGAGCATCATTATGATATTTTAAATAAAAAACATACCACCACTCTGTCAATTTACTCCACTGAGACCAGCATACAAGCCAACTTCCAAAATGCCAGATTAATCAAAAAATCCTTTCAAACCGACCACAGGGTTTTAGAAGCAATAGAAACATACAAGGCTGGCCTAAATGGCAATTGTATTAATTTTAAAGATGAAAAAAGTGTCTCAAATGCAAGGTAATGCCTTTATAAAAACCTGGGAAATACTGATATAAATTAATTATTCTTATTTTGTAATATATAACATATTACAAAATAAGAATATTATATTTATATAAGATTATATTTATATAAGATATAATTTTATAATTTTTAAAAATACCACCAATTTTGTATATTTATATGTTTGATTTATATACAGGTAACCCTGTATAATACAGGAGTTATGTTCCAAAAAATTACCGTGTTATACGAAACAAAGAACTAGTACGAAAAGGGGGGTTAGGTTCCAAAAATCAAAAAACATGCTATTATATTTTCATAATTAAGATAAATATCTTTATTAAAATTTTCTTAAGCGATACATATTAATATAAATTAAACAATGTTTTCTTTGTCATCACTAAGCACTATTAACCGAGGGCGTTTTCTTTTTGGGACGATATCCTTATCCTCTGAGCATTTTTCTGCATTATCTTCAAATCCAAACTCTACCTTTTGCAAAAAATATGTTATTTTAGATTGCTTGCCTTTAGTTAAAAGATCTTTAAAATTTCCTTATATGGTGCTAAGCACTTATGAAGAATAAAGCAAGTATGAAATAAGGGGAAAACATCTGGCAACACAAAATCAGAAGCGTCAAGATCTGGCAACACTGAAACAAGTTTCGAAAAGGATTACGTGTATCAAGAAGGTGGAGAAGAAAATTTACATACTTAAGTACTAATAGTTCACAAAAATGATAATTTTCGTGAACTATTATACTTAAGTATTTAGTATTTTTATTACATTTCATGTTGCATGAGGATTTTACCGAATTCTCGAACCGTGTTAGAGTGAATCTGTGCTATAGAAGTGCTGTGTTATACGGGGGTTACCTGTAGTTATATTTTATGATCTAATTGTTTAAAAACGTGTGTTCTGAGCATTTCAATTTGGAATACAATGTTGACCTGATGTAGATCTTGTTTAAGATAAAAAAAACATTAGTCAATTTTTGCATTAAATTTTATCGGACATTAAAACTTTTGTTGATTGTGACTGTACTTTGAGATATGTTGTTTTATATATATACATATACATACATACATATACATATACCATGCTGAGTAATGCAATAGCTGGGTGAATGCCATAGTGGAAAAGTACATAGGCTACAGGCATAGGAGTTGCTCCAGCCACACCATAAATAACTGTGAATATTTATATCTAAATATGTCTGGAAGCAAAAACTTGTTTGGGGTCTGTAAGGCATAACAGGCAAGCACACACTGCACAGTAAGCAGAGGTTGTGGGTTAAACTCCCACTTCAGGCTAGTTCTTTTCTTCCAGAATGTCCTAAATTATTTACAGTGGTACCTCAGGATTAAGGAATTCGATCCCGGTCCTTATTTCTAATCCCGGGATTTCGGGATTATACTTAGTCAATCCCGGGATCATTTCAGTATTGAGGGTTAATAAAAACTAAGAAAATCTTACAGAAATCAACAAATCAAAATTTATACAAAAATCAACATATTTTACAGTATACACCTAGCTAATTTAATCACTCTAACTAATCAGACTCAGAGTCAGACTAACCAGACTTAAAATCACTCAGTCTTCATGTTAAATTTATTCTTTTTTAAGCATCACTGAGATCTCTTTAAACTCACATAAATTGAAAAAACCTTTATGTAACAAACTATGCAAATAAACGTTGAAAATTAACAAAAATCTCTCTTAACATCGACTAAATAGACTACTTTCATATAACAACCTAGTAAGTAGGTAGTAAAGTAAGTTTCTTAGCAAAAAGTATTTAAAAATAATATTAATCAGTCACATTTTTCTTAAATATAAAGAAAACTAATCTAATAGGAACATTCTAATTTGAATTGCGAAAATATGATCTGAGAAATAACAATGCATCCTGTGTCTCATCACCAAGTCTGCTTCTCAATTTGTTGCACATATATGCAGCTGCTGAGAAAACGCGTTTAGGTTTGATGGAAGTTGGAGGAATCGTTAGTAAATACTTATAAGCCCGTTCTAGTTATAGCTTTGAGGACACGGGGAGGTTGGAAGAAAACAGTCCGGTCGACATAGATCGGGATTGTAGGAGTAAAGGCTACAATCCCGATTGTTTTGATCATTGTAAGCATGCCTTTCTAAAAATAAACACTTTAATTTTGTAAATTCGGTCTCTGTGTGAGTCTCCCAGCATCCAGCAAACAACTACTCCCAAACGTAAAAAGACTTTCTCGCATCATCCTGACAGATCACGGGCAAGGCGGGGGTCGTAACCTTTTCACCTAAGGTCGACCCCCCTAAGCGAGAGGCGTCAGGTCTATATTAACCACACTGGCAAAACAAGATGGCTGACACATTGACAGGTAAAACGCACTGAGTAGCCATAGTCCAGAAAGATTGTCGCATACCGTGTTCTGACATCATATTAATTACCCCTTAATGCCCAATGATGAGATAACTCGTCAAGGTTACATAGCGTTACGTAAAATTTGGTAGTTAAGGCCACTTTTGACAAAAATTTTTTTTTTCAATTTTTGGAATGTTTTTTAGGTCCCCAAATTTTTTCAAAATTTTTTGTCCGCGCGAAAAAATTTTATCGCGATTTTAATGAGCCTTTGATAAGGCTCGATTAAGGCTTAATTGTTTTTTAATGGGAGTTTTTTATCAAATTTATTTCATGGCTCCTAAGTTGTAGCGCACGGATTTGACTTCGGTAAAGTTATTTAAAGCTAGTTTCTGATGTCAAAAACGACCTCCAAAAGTTTTTAAATTTTTTAAATTAATATATTTTATTTTATATAAATTTAATTAATTAGGGGGGTCGGAAATCGCAATTAAAATCTTTTTAAAAAATATTTAAAAATATACGTGTCGGTCATATTCACCCTACTTTAAACCCTTGTCCTCCCGAGACATATATAAGAATGCCCCGGGAAATGGAGTCCCATTTCCCGGGGCATTCTCATATATGTCTCGGGGGGACTCCAGCTGTGGGGGGAAATGGGACTCCAGCTGTGTTCAAGGTCATCCAGCTGTGTAAACAATGACTCATCGGTGTTAAATTTCACAGAAAGGCGAGACAAAGGAAAATAAACTTTGAAGCTTTCTCTTCAAAATTAAGGCATTTCTTTCGTTTTTTTCAGTTTTAAGTATTTTTTATGCTTAATTACATCATAATTAATTACAGGTGGTCGTTAAGGGGTTTAAAGTTATATCTGTGTGCAATAACCTTTGTAAACTCTCTCACTCTAGAGGTTAGGCATGCAACAAGGTTACTAGTTAGATCGCTGTTATAGATAGATTTATGTGTTATCTGCATCTAAGCATTAATCAGTAACTTCCTTATGTATACTCCTGTAAATTAGCTTTAGTTATATAATAAATTCCTTCTTTGTTTGTTTAACCTTTAAACCTGTCTATCATTGCACGCACGGACAACTGTCGACTTTCTCAACCCCCTCGCCACTTGATAGAAAGCTATCCAGTGACACTGTGAGCGGATCTCGCTAATCCGACAATTAGAGGGCTCTGTCCCCTTGCCCATATTCTCACACTAGCATCTACGTCTAGTACCAAATTGCTTAGTTTCTAATTATTAATTATAGTATAATAATAGCCTGATTAATTACAAAGATCATTTGGCTTAGTGATAAATGTTATCTAACTACAGTATATACTAATACACCTACAACTGCCATAAATGATTGGGCTATATTTTGGATATATAATTATAGATTAGAAATTAATATGGCACTAGAATGATGATGAAGACATTTCAATATAAAATTAAATTTGAATTCCATTGCACCTGTATTTGTATCTTATACAGATAATTAAAATTTAATTTAAAAACAAAAAATTAAAAATATATTTGTTTGAAACATTGTTCACTAATTACCTTTCTTTGCTTGAATGATCAATCAACAGTTCATAGCTACAAGACAAAACTTCCAAATAAAGATGAATTAAAAAATCATCACTATCAGGTGAACCAACAAGATGCTCTAATGCTAAAGTAGTCTGTAAATTATATAATTATTAAGAACAATAAAAATCAAAGCATAAATAGCTTTATAATTAAATATTAGTTTAAATCTACAAAAAATATATATCAGAATCATTAGTACTTCATATGTAAATGATAAATATATTCTAATCTATTGTAAATAAATTTTTTGTCGTCTGATTATTTCCCACATCTAAATTTCAATCTAAGCCTAAGAATTTAAACAGATAATGGCCAAAATGGCTAGAATTTTTACTGGGATAGTTTTAAGCTAAGTAGAAATTGATCAATAAATCAATTCAATGCTTATAGCAGCAATGCTGTTAATACCTCCTATTTCTATAATCAAATTTATTTATGAATTAGTTTATTTCATTTAAAAATAGCTCAGGAAAAGTCAAAAGTTTTATTTCTGTAATTTTTCAAAATTTAATTAAAATTTGACTATTTAATATAGTTACAATGCAAAAATATATGTTCATTTTTGAGATGAGAAAAGAAAATATTTTATAAAATTTTCCAAAAGAGAATTCTCTACAGTATTAGTGCTATTTACAAAGTCAGACCTCTTTGTTTAAATCAACACAAATATGAACTGTATTTCAATTCAATAAAAATAATTTATTGTGAAAATATATAAATATACATAAGATTTCACTCTGAGTTATACTAGTAAAATAATAGCCAAAATGTAACAAAAAATTTAAAAATTTGTTTTTAAATAATAGCCAAATTTTCTGTATTGGTATATTAATTTTGCAAAATAACACAAACACACAAAAAGTTAAAGCTAAATTAAATTATGTGCACTCTTTCAATAAATTTTAAAATTGCAAATTTTTCTTTTGAAAAACAAAAACAATCACAGAAATTCCCATAAGTAAAAATTATATATGGTTTTTTTAAATTTCATTTTAAAATTCAAAAAGTAGAAGATAGCATTCCTAGTCAGAAAACATAATACAGTAGAGAATTGTTTATCCAAATCAATTGGGGACTGAGGTTGTTCAGATAACTTATTTTTCGGATAACCGATAATGTATGAAAAATATATTAACCTATCCCATGTTGAAATTTTTCTCCATTGTGTGTCACTTTGCGTTGAATTTTCATCACTGTTAAGCCTAACGTAAACTTATTAAAATAATAGTTGTGGCTATTGTATCGTTAAAAATTATTTCTTTATTTTTTACAAACAAAATAAATATATTGAAAAATATAAAAACAAAAAAAAATTATAATTTAGAAGTTAATCTAGTATCAGAAACGTTCGATTCAGCACGACACACAGTCCTCAGAAAAACACCACACAAAACTGCCAGTGCTGCCAGCTAAAACACACACACCAACAAAAAAAAAATATTGGAGTAGCCCAAAATATAGCCAAAGATTGCAGCGCCACAGTACTAGCGAAAATTTAAATTTGTCGACTGGAATGTTTTCGGTTAACCAACATTTCAGATAACTGGCTTTTGGATAAATGACACTCTACTGTAGTTCAATCATCAGATTTTAATTTGTGCTTTCATTTAATGATTGTTCAAGCACAATAAAGTAGGTAATAAAATTATCTAAACTTTTTGTGTGTTTTTCTAAAATTCTATAAACTATTCAATTATTAGATTGTTGTTTAGCAACTATTTATTGTCATACATTTTAAACTATTCTAAAAATCTCTTGCAGATATCTATATAAGCTCAAAAGCAGTTGAATATAGTTTCTAAAATTGTATTAAATGAAATTAAGTAATCAGATAATCATGAAGCTTATTTTAATTATTATTAAATCAAACTCATAAAATCTTCAAATATTAAAAAGTGATAACTTACAAAATCAAAGAGAGATTCTGTACTGGCATCAACTAATAATGGTAACAACACACGTATCATTTCTTTAGAATTTGAATTTCCAGGACACCAACTATTTATAATGTAAAAGATAAAAGTTTAATTAAGATTATAATATAATACTGAGACAATATCATTTGTTTAAACAATATAATCAATTTCAGTTTATGTATAACTATATCAACTATCAAAACAGAATATTTCAATTCATTTACATAGAAACTGGCAAAAATGATACCCATTTTTTAAACATTGCCAGTGTACAGCACAGGAATAGAGATTAAAACAACTTAATGTAAACTTTCAAAGATTTAGCAATTATAAAGAAATATAAGTTCTTATATATCATAAGTTATAAGAACAATTCAATAAGTAGAAGGAACACATGCCATAACATAGAATTACTTGCTCCCTAATCCAATATTTTATCAGAAATTTGAAAATCTATAATTTTAATCAACATGTAAATACTTTCTTTTTAATTACAAATTTCTGTATCAAAATAGCAAAAGTTTTTTACATATATATTAAAAACTTGCAAGAATTAAATATAAACTGGGCCAAAACTGATATATCAAACATGGGTAATCATATGTCATCATTGTTATTATACAAACTTAACAAATATCATTATACTTACACAATAAGATCGCCTGCAAATCGAACTAATGCATGAAGTAAACGCTTCAAACTTGGACTAGTAGTGAAAACAGCTTGAGCTAAAATAGTAAATCAGAGGTATTTTTATTAAATTAAACAATAAAATTAATTCATTTCAATTAAGTAAAGATTATTTATTATGTTTTATTTAAAAAATAACATATTTCAAATTTTCTCTGTTTAGTCAAAGAACAATGTTTCATTGTAATTAAATATGTATTGTCTTCTTAAATTGAACAAAATATATTTAAGAGACATTTTTGAACATGTTGAAAAGATGCTAAGAAAAAAAAAACTATTAATCTGATAGTGTAAAAGAGAATGTAAGAACTTAAAAATAGTAGAAAATAACAAAGTTTGAGGCCAGAGATTTGAACATGTATAACCTTTTATTGAGGAACAAAAAAAAAACATTTTTGAATACATTTTATCATAAAAATACTATCAAATTACTTGTATTTAAGAACAAATAATTAGCCATTAATGAATTTACACATTATTGTTCATAGATAGTTAACAAACTTTAAAAAATTTTTTGAAAAAGGATGTTTTAAAATACATATACAAATCTTCAAATTCTAAAAGTGTTTTATTTCTATTTTTAAATTGCTAATTTAGTTTAAAAAGCAAAAAACAAAAAAAAACTTATCTTTATGATACTGCTACTGAACTAAAATTAAACTTATTTTAGTAAACAACACAACAGATTCATCTGAAAATGTTTTGTCAGGAAGAAAATTGCACTTATAATAAATTAAATAATTATACAAACTGCTGAATGTTGAATGCTGAATGACTATGATAATTATACAAACTGCTGAATGAAAAAAAAAATTAATTTAGCTTAGAATTCAATCAACAATGAAGATTGAATTCAATCAAAATTGAAGATTGAATTCTAAGCTAAATTAATCATTTTTTCATTCAAATTGCTAAATTATTTAATAATGAAATATAGGCATTAATAAAAACAAAGAATAGAAAAATATTTTATCAATGTTTATATTTTATGAAATTTTATCGTTTAATTAAAGTATTTGATATCTAGAGTTAAAAAAGAATGACAGAATTCTTATATAATACAAGTTCTTTGTATTTGTTGTATTATATAGCAAAAACCAATAAAAAGTAGATCTAAAACACAACACAAAGAAAGAGAAGAAAATAGATTTACAAACCAGTAACAACAAAACACTAAAAAAAGTATACAAATATGAAAATATATATTAAAAAACCACAGCTTTAACAAAAAATATAAACCAAGAGTAAAATGAAAAACTTCAAAAAGTTTCTTTTTAAATAAAAAGATAAAAACTCCTCAATATAAATTATAATAAAGAAAAATGTGGTTAAAGTATAAGGAAAAACAATGTTGGTGTCTGTTATCTCAATATTGAATAAACAAGAATGGACTATTAAATTTTCTTGTTCAAACAAAAGAGATTCATAATAGTTATATTATTTTATATCATATAATTTGCTACATATTTAATATAAATTTCAAAAAATTTAGTTTTTATTCTACTATACAATTATACAAGTAATCTCATAAAATATGATAATCTGTTTTATTTTGTTTAAAACTTTTAATAATGCAATGTCACAAATTACAATATTTAAGTATGCTAAAATCTAACATATGAACATCTGGGAAGAAATTTTTAAAATTTTAATATGAAATATTAAAAATAAATTATTATATATATTTATAGTAAAAATCTTTATACCAGAAAGTGATGTTATATGTGAATTTTCAATCGTAGCNTATATATTTATATATATATATATATATAAAACAATTATTTCTTACACTAGAGTATATAAAATATATATAATATCAATTATACCCAAGTTATTGTTGTCACATTGAAAGAATTCCATTTGTCTAATGCACTACGAAGTCCTGCTGGCAAATGACCAGCAACAGCTAAAGTAAATGTTGATAATTTTGTGCATCGACTAGATGCCATTTTAATTATGATATCGTATGCTTGTAATGTTTTCAAATTGGGAATTGTAGCTTCATCAACAGTCCCAACATTATCAGCCATCTGATAAAGGAGTGACCATCTGGAAACCAAGACGATTACAGTTAGGTTACATATGAACAAAATCCACTTAAAGAAATTATAAATTTTAATTCATCTTACTCTAAAAATAAATTTCTACTTTAATTTTAATAAAATATTATTCTTTATTCTAATTACATAACAACATACACTTATATTTTAATTTTTGAAGTTAGACTATTTACAAAAACATATTAATATTTTTGAGTCTATCATTAAATCCTTTTCACACAACCACAAAAGACACAGTTGTATTGGTTATAAGATAAAACTTCCTTAAAAGACAAATAATAAAAGGTAAAAATTCACACTGTTTAAAAATGTTCAAATGCCAGCCTTTTATTGTAGGATCTGACATTTTTTGCATTAAAAACTTAAGAATCTTCTCACCAACCATGTTTATGCAAATGAAAAGGATTTACTCTTAACTGCCACTAGAGGGATGAACCAGTTATAAAATTTGGCAAAGGACTTGATGGTTGGTGAGAAGATCCTTAACTTTTTAATGCATAAAACGTCAGATCCTACAATAAAAGGCTGGCGTTTTATCATTTTTAAACATTGTGAATTTTTACTTTTTATTATTTGTCTTTTAAAGAAGTTTTATCTTCTAACCAATACAACTGTGTCTTCTGTGGTTGTGTGAAAAGGATTTAATGATAGACTCGAAAATATTAATATGTTTTTGTAAATAGTCTAACTTCAAAAATTAAAATATTGAAGAATGTCCTGAGTTAACATTGAACATTGTGAATACACTTATATACAGTAGATCCCCCTATAAGACGGGTTCCTATAATTACGATTCCTACAAGACGGTGAAAAAATTGAGGCGGTATCTGTAAACAACAGTAAAAAAAACTCCTATAATTACGTAAAACGTCATCGGGCAGCCGAACTACTTTCCGCCTTCCAGCGCCATACTACGGACAGTTTAGACAGTTTAGGTGGGTAAATTGAGTTTAGTATCGTCTGTACATATAATTATATATAAATTAGGTACTGTATATATAATTATATATTAACTTAATTTATTGTAACTTTATTATAATTATATATATACTTTCCGCCGTCTAGCGTCATGCTATGGAGTGTTTAGGTGAGCTATTGTCTGTACAGTATGTAAATTAGGTGCCGTAAGTCTAATACAGTACTGTAATTTTATACATTTCTTGTGAAAGAAACATTTCTTATTCAACAGCGATTAAAATTATTCATATTAATGATGTCTCCAAAGTTCAGCGAAGTTTTCGCAGAAAAATAACATCAGAAATCGCGGCTGCAGTTTGCTGCGCTGTTCCGTGACGAAAACAAGCTTGAGCAACGGCAATGTCGAATGGTGCACACTCAGTAAGTAATCCTACAATTTTTTGTTTATAGTGTAGTTTATACGGATTATTTCCAAAAAAAAATATACGTATTTTGGAAATATTGAGTCGGATTAGTCTAGAATCGATTAATTTTATGGAAGAAAACCTTTCAAACAGCCGTAGTCCATGAAGTTCACACGTGTCAGGCTGTGATTCCTACAAAATTGATTCATAAAGAATGGAACGTATCTACCGTCTTATAGGGGGATTGACTGTATTGAAGTATAGATTAGAGTTACCTTTTATCACTTTTCTTAATACACCTAATTATGTTTATACATGATTTTCATTTAATAGTCTGAAGAGAATTTAATTCTCTTTTTACATGATTTATTTTGATCTAATATATATCAATAAATATATCTTTTTAAAAATCCTCATTTGATTTGAATTCTAAAATAAATATCTTTCATCTTAGAATTCAAATCAAACGAGGATTTTTTTCACACACCTTTTCTAGAAAATTAATATTATTATTATACAGTATTTAGTGGGTTATACTTAGTTGATACCGGTGGTTGTGAACTATGCCAGACCAGAGTCAAGGCATAGCAACCAAAAACTGAAATACAATAAGCATGTCAGTATCTGTATTAAGGAATTTCCTAACAATATGACATGTATGTATTCAATATAGTGGCCTTCTGTAGTGTTATGTATGTATTTCTATTCAATTGTAACGTTCCCAGGCTTTTGTGTAGTGTGTGTGGTATCACACCTGTACAGGAGAGAACGATAGGTACAATAAGCACCCTATCCATCTTCCACAGATGCCTTATTTTCTGGGCAAGTTCTGCGTACTTGCTGATTTTTTTCACTGTATATGTTTAGTACATTGTGAGTGTTTGGAATGGCTATGTCTATAATGTATGTGATTTTATTATGTTTGTCAATGAGTGTAATGTCTGGTTTGTTGTGGTAAATTGTTTTATCTGTGATTACAGCTCTGTCATAATACATTTTGTGCATGTTGTTTTCCAATACTGTCTGTGGAATGTATTTGTAGTATGGTTCGTGCATGTCTAATAATTTGTGTTTCTTTGTAAGCTCTTGTTATATTATATTTGCTACTTGATTATGTCTATATAAATAATCTGTCTGTGCCAAGAGCTTGCACCCAGATGTAATGTGTTGTATAGTTTCTGGCATGATGTGACATTTTTTGCATGTGTCATTTGTGAGTGTTGTATCTTTGAGTATGTGTTTTCTGTAGTTTTTAGTATTTATGACCTGATCATGTATGGCAATCATGAATCCTTCAGTCTCCCCAAAGAGGCATCCCCGATCTAACCAGCTGTTTGACGCAGTTTTGTCAACAAAATCCTGGGCCAGGTCGTAAGGATGCCTGCCATGGAGAGCCTTTTGAGCCCATAATTGCTTAATGTTGTCTATGCTTTTTATATGTTGTGTCATGTCTGTATGTTGTGAGTGTAAGTTTAATAGTGTGTTATTTGAGTCTGCTAGAGTTACTGCTTTATATAACTGTGATGTTTCTTGTTTCCTGTAGAAAAACTCTCACAGTGACTGTATTTGTTTGTAGTGAAGGTTAACTATGTCAATCAGGCCACGTCCTCCATCTTTACGTGGAAGGGTTAACCGTTCTGTGGATTTAGGATGATGTTGTTTATGCTTAGTAAGTGTTGTTCTTGTTTTCCTTTGGAGTTGCTCGAGATCTGTGTGAATCCAATGTATAATTCGAAAAAAGTATGTGAGTACTGGGACGACATATGTGTTTATTGCTTTAACTGTGTGTTTTGCATTTAGCTGTGTTCTCAGGATAGCATTTAACCTACTTTGGTATTGTTTAATTAATCTTTGCTTTATTTGTGTATATTCTGTTAGTTTGGCCTGTTGGAATCCTAAATACTTGTAGAACTCGCCCTCTTCCATGGATTCAATAACGTCTCCATTTCCAAGTGCAAAATCTTCTTTCTTTAGGATTCCTTTTTCTATGTGAAGTTTTTTGCATTTGTCTAGGCCAAACTCCATTTGTATGTCCTTAGTATATGAATGTGTGATTTGTAGAAGCTGCTGAAGTTGTTTTTGTGTGGATGCATAAAGTTTTATGTCGTCCATGTACATGAGATGTGACAGTGTAAACTGTGTTGTTTTTTCATGTCTGATATAGTAGCCATACTGCGTGTTGTTTAACATGTTGGATATTGGGTTCAGGGCTAGGCAGAACCAGAGAGGACTCAAGGAATCTCCTTGAAAAATTCCTCGCCTAATGAATATTTCGTTTGTTTGTATGGAAGTGTTACTAACCCTGAGATGTAGTGTTGTTCTCCAGTGCTGCATAGTGTTTTGGAAGAATGCAATGAGTGATGGATGTATTTTGTACATGTGTAGAATATGTAGCAACCAACTGTGTGGAACACTGTCAAATGCTTTTCTGTAGTCTGTATATGCCATATGTATGTTTCTGTGTTGTTTGTGTGCTTGTCGTAGAATGACTGAATCTATGAGTAACTGTTCTTTGCATTCCCTGTGATTTCTACAGCAATTTTTTGTTGTTCTGTAAGAATGTCATGTTATTATTATTATTCTTATTCTTAAATTTGCATCTATAATTGCTACAAGTAAATATTAAGATTTGGCTGTTTTTTTATGACTTATTTGAACATGTTTAATGACAGTCAGTCTTTCATTCCAAATTTATCATATGAAAGAAGTCAGAAGCATTTCTTTTTTTTGAAATTTGATGATTTTTTCATGTGACTGCATTTCTTTCAATTTCTTTCAATGTGGAATAGTTTTGCATTTTATTTTGTGTTAAAAGCTAAAGGCCTTTTGATGTTTTATTGAAGTCAAAGAATAAAATTAAAAATAAAATGTGCATAAATAATATATATTTATTAAATATTGCTAGTAAGTTATAATTGTCTCTACTCTGATTTATTAACTAAAATTAAAATATTTTGTTTAAACACATCCTATTATTTTTCTGATTTTTAAGATCTGGAACCAATCTTTCATTTTTTAATATGGATAGGGGTCTTTTTTACATGGATTTTTCAAAAATGTATCTGCCATATAAAAACAGAATTGAGTGTATTATGATACAGGTAATAAGTAACTCTGGGAGAACAATATGATCATTTCAATAACATAAAAACAACTTTAAAAGTTATGGTAAAAAATATCTTTAGTTAGATTATTACACATACACTTCTATTATATAAAATTATTATATTAATACAGAATATCATTTGTTTTAATAAACAAATGAAAAAACAAAAAGATTACCTTATACATGCAGAATACATTTCTACAAGTTGAAGAATGATGGGAAACATATCTTGAGCTAATTCTTTAGCTTCATTATTTCCACTGTCATTCTATTAAATTTTGTAATAAAACAATTTTATTATTATTATTATTATTGATAATCCTAAAAAATTTATATAAAATTCTTTATATTAATAATTTTAAAATAGGCATAATTTTAATTATTTGTATTCAATTTATTATCCTACAAGATTTAATTTTAACAAATCTGATATGCAAGATACAGACAATCCTGCTTTCTGTCATTTAATACATTTATCAAGTAAAATTAGACACCATTGATTCATTATTCTGTTTTCATCATCCATTTTATTCATCACATTAGTTAAGCTGTAGCTTAATTACCTATTTATTATGTTTATTACTATCTAAAACAAAAACTGTTAAACATATGAAATTTTATATAAGATTAACACACAACGTTTTAAGGTTGTTATAAACTAATAAATAACTTAAAAATGTATATCAATATCAATCATATATAAATGTTTGCTTAATTTCATGCAAAATCACATGATGAAATTTTTAGTGTTACTTGTTTTTCTTTTAATAATTTCAGGAAAATAATTTCTGATACTGATTCTTTTTTCAAGGTATTTATTTTTATTAAAAAGGGTAAATTGTTTATCTCATGATGTTGACTTTATGGTAATGTGGTTTTTCCCCGTTTTAGGTTTATAATGAAAATTGTTAGTAATTTTTGTTTATTGTGCTCTGATTTTTTTATGTTTCTCCCTGCATCATGGTTGTACCTGTATGCTTAATTAAATAAAATAAAAATAAATTTCAGGAACATATTAACTTTATTCTATTATAAAACTAATTATATATATTTATATTTATGGGAGTCAACATGGTGAAAAAATCATCAAACTTTTATACTATCATCCACTACTTTTTTCCAAACTCTCCTATTGACAGACAAGTTTTTATCCCGGAATAAAGTTAAATTCCTTTCCTCTGAAGTCTGCTTAACACTATCAATCAACCTTCTTCTAGGTTGTCCCTTTGGTTTTTTGCTTTGATTTTAGCTTCAAATACCTGTTTGGCTAGTTGGTCTTCTCCCATTCTTTCCAAATGACCAAACCACCCCAGATTAGCACAGCTTACTCTGAACTGAATAATTGTTATCTTAAGGTTTTTTCTTATGTCTTCATTTTTAATATGCTTTTGCCACTCTATCCATCTATTAATACCATTAATTTTTCGAAATACTCTCATTTCTGCTGCTTTTAATTTTTGGTCAATTCCCTTATTTCTCACCCAACTCTCAGAACCATATGTTAATATAGGTTTAAAAACTGTGTTGTATGCAGCTAGTTTTGTCTTGTGACTTATTTCTTTATTTTATGACATTAGTATATATAAAATAATTTTGCATATTTTATAATCACTAATTTGTTATACATCATATGTTGATGTAGCTGTTATAATTATCATAAATTAATGTCTTATCTAAACAAAATGATAATTTTTATTGTTCGGGTGAAAATCTATTAATGTTGCTAAGATTTTCTTCAAAAATTTTAACTTTTAAACTGTTAATTTAATTTTAAAAATTCTAATTCTTATTTTACATTTTTTAATAGAAAACATTTTATTATTTTATTGGCTTTCACTTTTTTAATAATCTCATAAAAAAAAATGTATGTTTTAACATATTGTTTTCTACGAGCTTTAAGACATAAAAGAGGAGATATATTTATTGAGATTACATCATCATTTCTTTTTCTTATGTTTATTCCAAACTGTATAAAGGAATACTACTTTTACTTATTTTTTAAATACACTTTCTATTTTCATACAAAAATTTTATTAAATGCATTTAGTAGTTTTTGTAATAATTAAATTAAAAATAAATTAAATTTGTATCTACCATGTTTATTTCTTTAATATATGCTTATTAGTTGTAAGTTTTCAAATTTGTGTTATTAGATTAATTTCTTATAATAAAAAGTAAAATTTTTATGAAATGAATAAATGAAATATTTAAAAAGTAATCAGTTTTTCAGGCTAATATATTAAAACTTTTAGATATTTCATTAGAAAGTTATTACTTCAATATTCAGAATTAAGCAATAAAAAAATATATTTAATAAAGCATATTCAGTGAAATAAAATCTTTATTAATATAACATTAAAACAAATACTCACTGATGGTTTTGAAAAAAATTCATCTAATGATGCTTGAACTTTAGCTATTATAGTTTCTAATACAAATACATCTATTAAATGTGGTAATTGTTGTTTAGGAATACAATCTTTAGATGAAGATGGTCCTTGAGATAACTGAAATACAAAATCAGATTTAAAACTTAGCCATTACATATATATATATATTATTATATATAATTTAAACAGTACAATGTTGAATAATTTTTATCATCTATATCCATCAAGAATTAATAAAATAATTTATGAAGAATGACATTTAATATAATTTGTATGTATAACGTTTATATAAAACATTTTGTCCCTAATTTATGAATGCTATGCATTTGTATAAAATGAGCTTATAACAAATAATATTTACAGTAAAATCTGTTCAAAACAGGAAACTGCCTAAATATAAAAAATTCTTCAGAATGAAGTGATTTTCCATGTTAAAAAAACTGTTCAAAACAAATTTGCCCGAAGTGAATAAAAATATACAGTACTGCACAATTCTGGTTTATACAGGTTTTACCGTATTGATTTTTTTCCATTATAACTAGATTTTCCTGTCATATTTGTTTGGCAACATATTAATAGAGCAAAAATCTGCATTTTTGCATGACTTTGTAAAAATTTTGAACAGTTATGCCTTTAAGATTTCAAACAGTGAAAAATGCCTTTTAGCACACAGAGTAAGCATTAAACATCCTTTAAAACAAATGGGGCAATCTAATTTGAAATTGTTTAATTTATAATTTTAAAATATTGCATTTTATACAATACTAACTTTCTTGAATTTTTAATTTACTTTAAATAAATATGGTTTATTTTACTTATGTAATTATCTAAAAGAATTAATTTAAAATCAGTTTTTATAAATTATACAATTACTTAAACCCTATTAAACATTTTTACTTAATTACCATAAAAATCTTTTATAATTATCTTTTTTGAGCATAATTCTATTAAAAAGATACACTTTGTAAATAATAATAAAAATATAAACATCTTAAAACTGATATTATTAAATGTGTTTAAAATATACCAAATTACTTAATAATTTAATTATTAATAGTAGTGGAAAAATAGTTCGATACATTACAATAATAATAAAGAGTTTTACATCATCAGACAGCAACAGAAAATCTTTTTATACATTACCTGTTTACTGATGAATTGTTTAGCAACTTTTACATCATATTTTACGTTGCCTGCATTACGTGTGATAGATCTTAAGAGATATTCTGCTTTCTGAGTTGTCAGTCCTTGTTTTACTAATGCATCCTGTATAACAATAAAATTTGATTTTCTATACAATCAGTATAATATGTTTTTAATATGTATAAAGATCTTAATATGAATCAAATTTCAAACATCTTTACAAATTGTTTTCAATAAGTTATTCAAAAGTTATGAATAATTTTCAAATGTTATTAAATGTTTACATTAAACACTAAATCATTTTCCAACTTCTTTTATATATATAATAAAAAATCTTTATGGTTTACTAGTGACAATAAAATTAAACAATTAGATTATTCAATGCTCTTAAAAATGCTCCTCCATGTATTTTATAATAGTATGTGTCTATGACTAATAGCAATTAATATTTTTATAAAGTATAACTATTTTTAATAATAATATCAATAAATTCACAGTTATTTTTTTTGTAAGTTTTCTTTTTATTCAACTGATATTATGTTCATTTTAACTGACAATTTTCAAATTTAAAATGTATTAAATACAAAAAATGTTTTGTTTAGTTTTAATGATTTTTCAAATATTTTATTTATGATCAATAAAAATATTACACACACATTTGATTCTTAATGTTATTTATAATAATAATAATTTATAGTAGAAGTAGGTTTACTTCAATATTGATCATTTATTTTACTAAATTTTGTCTTGTTTTATGTGGTATTATTATACATGATTTATTCTCATGGATGATGAATAATTAACCCATTCCTATTGTCACTGAATCTGCCTCAAGTCAACAAACTATTACTTCAGCTTCTCATATTTTAAGTATGAAGAACTGAGAGTACTCAGTGATGAATATCCTAATTTGCATATACTTTTCTCAAGTAGTATACTCAATACAGCATAATAAAATTATAATCTGTTTATTCATCAGACTTTGTTATTCAGTATAGTAAAACCACAACTAAAATGTTTTAAATTCATTTTAATGTCTTCCAGTTAATTGTAAATGTATAAGTATCAAGGCAATTCTCTGGGACTACTTGGGGTGCAAATTTATGTGAAATTTTGTTTTATGCAATATCTGCTAACACAAATTATACATAAAACAAGACTATACTTTAATTTAATACACACCAATATCATCATCATCAAGTCTTAATAAATTGATTAAAAACTTCCCAAATTCTTTGTTGTTTCAAGATATTTTATTGTAAATAATAATTTTATAATCAAGTGTGAAATGTTAAATGAATCAGAATGAAACAAAGTTTCCTTTCAAATATTGTGTTATAATAAGATAAAAAAAAATAAGGAAAGTCTATGAATATAATGAGCAATTATTTATTGTGACATTATCACAATGCAGGGCTGCAATTTTTAATCACATTTTTAATTTATTTAATTTAAAATATATGCTCTCCACCTGAAAATATTAGTAGTGACTTGCCCCTGTACATCATACTTTTCCTTTAACAATAGAGTCGTGCAGGTCATCTGTCCAACTCCTTCCAGGAAAAATTTTGAAATGAAATAACAACTTCCGGTTTGCATTGGAAGTTCATATATAGTTAATCGAGGCCTCCTGCCCCTAAGGTTTCCCCCATCTAGTCTAGTCTTTCATCTACCTAACTCAATTCTTGAGATTAAAGAAAGATGGACAGATGTAATTTATAAGTCTACAATTTTTTTAAATTGCAGCCCACAATTATATCATTTTCAAATTTATTAAATGAAATTAATTACTATTAAATATAATTTTCTTTCTTCATTATACTTTCCTTATTGTGTTTTTTAAAGTAAATGTCCAATTTTGTTCTAAGACTTTTGTATATTATTATTAATTTCTTGAGCAATAAATTTGAGTGCTACAGTTATCAATGAATATTTAATTTTGCAAACTATTTATTTTTAGAAATGCCTGATTGTAACTAATTCTATTTAAGTTCCTAGGAATACAAATTATTAAAATATAGTCTTTACTGTCAAACTACATAAACTTGCAAGGTAAAAAGAAATCTATAAATAAATGCAATAATACAGCATTTCTCGACCTGTGATCCACAATAATAGGACAGATGGTCTGCAAGCAGACTTAAATTAATAAAGATTAAAAATTTCATTTGACAATAATTCACTTTTAATAGTTTACTTCCAATTTAATTAGTTACAACTCCGTATGTATTCAGAATATGCTTTTAAATTTATTGTTATAAATAACATAGTATATCCTAAATGTTGGTAATATCCACAAAGGTTTAAAAAACTAGGCCTATAGAATTTTTTCAGACATTTTACTGATCCTTGGGCATAAAAAAGTTGAGAAATGTCGTAATAATACATCCATCATCATCAATAATTTTTTTTAATTCATTAAAAGCATGTAACAAAAACTTGAAAAATGACCATTTAAAAGAATCAGAAGTACGATGGAACCTTGCTTAACGAGCATAATTCGTTCCAAAATCTTACTCATAATGCAAAACACACGTTAAGCGAAACAATTTTTCTCATATAAATTAATGTAAAATACGATAATGCATTCCATACCAGAAAAAAAATACTCAAATATTTTATGTATAACATTTATTCAAAGAAAATTATATAATATACATTGTTAAGGAACGTGAATCATCTTTATCTTTTCTTATAGCGCAGAATGAACCAACCTGGAATGCAAATTCGATTTGCAGGAGGAAAAAACTGAAAAAATGTCTCAAACAGCCAAACGATATGCCAAATTTTTGGGTGACGTAAAGGCTATAATTAAATATTAGAAATTAATTAATTTGATTAGAGATAGGCAGTTATGCTTCCATTTCATATTAAATTTAATAATTATAAATAATTAATTTTTAATTTAGACATTTTGAAATTTAATTTGGAATTGGTCATTAAATTTAGTATAAGGTGGCAGCATAACTGCCTACCTCTAGTCAAATTAATAAATTTCTAATATTTAATTATAGCCTTTACATAGCCCAAGAATTTGGCATATCATTTGGTATGTTTATTGTATAATGGGCTATGGTTGTTGATGTTTATATGTAATATGTCTGAACACAAGTGTGAGATTCGTGATTTTTACGTAGTTGTCGGAAAAAAATTTGTAAGCAATGGAAAAATCACTCTTGGTGAGAATTATATCAAAGGTCACCATTTGTTTTCACAATTAGGTGGGAAAGTTGACATTTTGTTGATCATAATGCACCATTAGTGTCAACAGAAGTCAATCACTTGACTCCTTTCCCACAAAGAATGTATAAAAGTGCAAGCCCCCGGAAGCTCTGAGCGACCAAAGGAAGTCATACTTATTAATGTGTGCATTTTGTCTCCATACACTGGACATAGCGACCAAAAGGACTTTGCCATACGACAGACAACAACTTTGAACTTCCATCACCATTCTACAGTTCCTGCCCCGACTACGATTCCTACGGCTCATTCAACGAACACATATTGGTCATATCCTCATATAGGTATTTGTATTTTAGAGCTTTGTGAACTCTCTCTCTCAGAATAGCCATTAGAGCTGTTAAAAGTGGCCCTTTGTATAGTTAACTTGTATTTTAACCACATTTAACCTATTTAATGTTATTGCCTTATGTAACCTAGCTTAGCTATTCAATAAATGTTTTGTTATTTTGTTTAACCTGTCGTCTATCGTTGTACCTGCCGACTTACCGACATTCTCCCCACTTGATTTGCCCTCCTAAGCCATCCGACAATCAGAGTCCAGGTTTCACCAACCTGTTGCAGTGTAAGTGGTCATTAGGGATCATCCCAGTGGCCCTCTGCTAGTCCCACACAAGCTTAGAAAGATGTGTGATCACAAGTGACCCTAAGATGCTAGCGGAGCGAGTGCTAAACACAGACTGATGGAGCATGCACACAATCCAGGACTTCCCCTCTCCTCGTCACTCATTATGCAAAACAGTGCTTGTAAAGCAAGTAATTTTTTTACAATTTGTTTTGCTCATTATGTGAGGTGCTCATTAAGTGAGGTTCCACTGTATTTGATTCTTAAATAAATATTACTATAATGTTACTTCTATTAAATTAATGAAAAAAAAATGAAATATAAGTCAGAATACAATTACAAATAGTTTGAACTTACCTTCATCCAACCTGTAAATACTTTATGACCTGCTCTTGTAATCCATATTAAAGCATGCAGTGCTTGTGAAGCATCAAGCATTGCATTACCAGTTGCCAACAGTTCCATAGAATGAATTGAGGGTGGTAATGTAAGTAAAAGTCTCCAGCAAATACTAAAACAATATTGAACAGCACATATACCCTATGTAAGAAAATAATAATATATTTATTTTTAAAAAGAAATTTTTATATAAATATATTTCAGAGTATTAGTCAAAGAAGTTAATAAATAAATAAAAACTAATTTTTGTATTTTTTTTTATTGAAATTAATAATAAGCTAAATTCTATATATATTTTTAAAATATGATTTCTAAAAATTTCTATAAATTAGTAAGTTGGGTACAAAACAAATAATGTCAGCACAGTAAAAAGTAAAAAAGCATTTACATACTAACAAAAAAGCATAGACAGCCATATGAAAATTTTAAAATCTGATTTTTTATAAATTAACAGTTACACTTTTCTGCATTAACAAACAACATTCATGTATCTGTTTAAACTATTATTATTCTATAACATAACAAAAAAGGAATTTTGGAATTACCACTAAAAGTACAAATTATATTTTACCAAATCTTACTTCTACTTGTGAAATTCTTACAACTTAATATCTAAATTTTAAATTAATCTCTTTGAAAAACAGAAAATAAAATTTAATTCTCATCTAAATAATATTTTTTCAATTAAAAAAAATTACCAAAGTGCAGTCTTGGTAATCTGACATATGTAAGGCTGGACAATGTCAGATTAAGGAGATTACCAGATTACCAGATTATTGAAAGATGAATTCAATGGCAAAACAAATTTAATAGTGTAGAATCAACTGATGATAATGCAGCAAAATAGAAGTATGATTACTTATCATTGTTGGTGGATTCTCACTAAATTTAATGAGAAATTTAGTAGATCATCAAGTACTTTTGATAGAAAATTTCAGAGAATTAACTTTTATATTTATACAATAATTTGTTATAACATATTGTACATTTTTTGATCAGCTTAAAATGACAAGCCTAACAATCTTTAGTATCATGTTCAAGCTCAGATTTGATATCATGCCACATTTACTATGAAGGAGTTCAAACTCAGTGAGAACTGAAGTTTGAACTAGTGGAAAACTTTTATAACTTGGCAACAATGCTGATAATATCAGAGTTGACTAGTGTTGCATTACTGGATATAGCAAACTAATGAATGGCTGGATTACCGAGATTATACCATACATAAAATCTAACAATTTTAAAAATTTAATGTCTGTGTTATATTTTTATATATACACACATACCTTCATGCCTTTTCCCTTTCAGGTTGGGAGTGAATGAGCTGCTTCTACACTGCTCGATTCAAACATACCTATCTCACTTCTTACATGCTCATTGAGGCCTTTCGTACACATTTATGCTGACTTTGACCATGCATATTCACAATGTTCTTTGCAATCAAAGCATCATGCACACCATCTATCCATCTCTTCAGTGGATGGCCCCTGGGTTGCCTGCCACACACTACACCAGCATATGCACCCTTTAACAGTCATTCATTGCTCATATACTCCATGTGTCTAAACCACCTCAGCAACCTCCCTTGTGACCACTCACTCGTTTTTGCATTCCACACAACTCTGCCAGGAGGCCTAGTATGTGGGTTAGCAATCACCTCAGCTCTCATTTTCTGTTTTTTTCTGGTGTTAAAGCCTTCCAGTCACTGATATATTTTTATTATGATTTCATTATTTTTCCTCTCTATGGAGAACAAATTAATCCATTATAATTAATATATTTGTAATATAATTTGTTAATGCTGCAAGATCCAAACTTATGGAAGCAAACCTTGCACCAGAGTTCATTAAAAAAAATCAAACTAGAAATGCTAGTACTGGACTTTCCAACTATAAAACAAAAAATATATTACAACAATAATTATTATGAAGCTCAAATAATACAATTTTAACTTACTAATTACAACAAAATTGATTATTAGCAAAAACTATAAATTACAAATTATTCAAACTCACAAACACTTGTGAGGTAGTAAGAGAAAATTATTGATTTATTTTTGAATATTAAAGTATTTTAGAAATATTTTAGCTTGAAATGTATTCTTGAAGAAAAGCATTTTCTAAGATTTCTCTAATTTTTATGTATACTTCAAAATGTGATGCTATAATATTTGAATTGTAGAAATGGAGAAAATTGAAGTTCATTCACATTATGACAGAATTCATGATTAAAATTGGATAACAATATGCAGGGTCTGTACAGGTAATTCCATCCGTAATTCCCTGACATTTCCTGATTTTCCATGACCAATAACAGCATTATTCCTTGACTTATTAACATCACTGCATTTCCTCTTTCCATTACGCAATATTTGGCCAAGTCTATTTAATCCCATTTTGTACACAATTATATAAATTTTTGAATTAAAATACACTTTATTCATTTACAAAAAATGGAAAACTTTACATAAAATCGATTATGTAATTAGCTACATCATTTCTACAGCATACAAAAGAAAAAAAAAACACACTTAATTTGTAAATTTTACTTAAAAAAAGAAAAAGACTCACATCACATCATAAAATTGAATTTTCTTAAAGCAAAGATGTGGGAATTTCAAAATAATTTAAACAGAAGAAATCACACACTCCATGAGAAGGAGAAATTGCTTATCACATGCTATTTTGGTCCAACATGGTCATTACATATCTTCCCACCTGTTCCCAAAATTTACAGTGGGAGGGCAGAGTTTTGGTAGGAAAGTGGATCATTGTTGATGGTGTTTTTGAAAACCTGACTTTAACTCTATGGTGATAGTTTGATATACTTCTAAAAAATGTGGAATTTTGAAATTCCGTGGGCCATCCATCCAAAGACAAAAATTTGCAGTTTGAGACAAGATATATCACAGACATCAATACATCAAAATTGAGAGAATTATTATCTCCACATGCTATATGTAGCCAGCAGCAAAGAATACAACAAATAAAAATACATAAATTGCATGAGATCTACCAAACATTGCAAAATGTCCCATACACAATATCGTTAAGCCGACTGACAGTTCTTTGCCCCTTCCACAACATTAATTGACTGTAATGAGTTAATCAAATGTCATGCAGGTCAAAAAAATTAAGAGGGTTGTGTATGGGGGACAATTGCAATTGATTAAGGCATGAATCTGTGTTTGTGTTATTAGAAAAAGGATAAGGTGTGAACGAATAAAGTCTTGGTGGTAATCAAGTCCCAAGTCAATATCTATCACTTCAAGAGGTGGCGCACTCGGGTTTGTTATGCTCTCTATTTAATATGCATTGTTCGGCATTAGTTGTTTTAAGCTTTTCTGATTCCTTTAAAATTTTTCTTTCCAATAATATGTGTCTCTTACATTTCTGTTCATATTTCCTTTGCAATTTCTTCGACATTTGTGAAAATTTTCTTCAACCCACACAGTTATCAACTTAACTTTACAAATTATATTTTATCGGTTATTATTGCTAAATATTATTGTAGATCCTGTTGTTCTGTACAAATCGACACAAATTTCAATGTCAACGTCCTAGCGCTTTGCCATCCAAAGTTTTGCTGCCCAAACACCTCACCATTTTCGGTGTTCACACGCAATCATTACCCCTCCACACATAGCTGCAAACCCCCACTAACCACCATTTTAAATACGGAGGACATAACCCTCCTATTCAACAAAATTTAAATTGTTAGATCATCATTTATAGTTTACGAGATATAAGTGCGACAAATCTTGCAATTTGTTTGGTCACTCATTTTCATAACCTCTCTACACTGAACTGAATTTAAAGACTGGTTCAGATCCTTTTTGATCTGAATGTGCAAGAGTGACAGACAGTTTCTGTAGTATTTGTGAATTCCCTGACTTTCCAGGTCTGTAAGGACCCTGAATATGATATGCTCACCATCTTAACATCAATTTTCACAGAAAACAAGTGCTTTACAATTGTGTACAGCTTAAATTTTATTTCAATTGAATACACTTTTAACTAAAGAAAGAATTTAAGCAAAGAAAGAATTTAACTAAATGAAGATAAAATAAGAATATCATGAACAATATGAAAAACTTATCCCTATTTATTAAAACCATACTTTAGGTATGTTTTTTCCATCATCATCTTTCTTTGCTTAATTTTTGTGACTGAAATTAATGTTATAATTAATAGCAGTTTAAATATGCACACTCCTAACATGTTTTAAACAATCATTTATTTAACATTACAATTCTTATAATGAATTTCACTTACCAATTGCACAATATATTCTTATGTGAATTGTTAGCTTTATTCAACCTTGCCATTGAGCAATATAGAACTATACCTTGTCATAACACAAACCAACCTTTACTGAAAATTTGGCAATCTTAAAGTATCATTATCTGATCATCTTTGATATTAAGTAAAATCTGATATTTGACACCACAGTCTGTAAGCAGAAAACTTTTATAACAACAATCTATCAAAGATAGAACAACAAAATGTTTAAAAAATAAAGATTAGACAAAATTAAAAGGAGTAACATAAAGACAAATAAAAGTGAAAATCTTTCTGAAACATATTTCAAGACTTATTGATATATTAAGACAGAACATTTCTGTTAACATTCACTAAAAGCTGGAGATGACTTCATGAAATTTAGTATCAACATAGAGGAGAGAATAGATATAACCTGAAAAAAATTTAAAAACCAAAGAAACAACAAAAAAAAAGAAAAAGAAAGAAATAATAACCAAAACAAATATTACTTAGATTTTACAATTAACAAAAAGTGCAATAACTGTAAATGCCATTTGCAACCATCCTATACTACAGTCAAATTCAAATAACTTGTTGAAAATTTTAAAACAATTTGAATAAATTGTTCTTTATTAATATTAAAATACTATAAAATGTTTAAGTAGAATAATATCTGTTTTAATAAACTAATTGTAGAAATTCATTTCCATAAATGAAATAATTTTAATATTTAAAATTTATTACCAGGTAAGATAACTGTTCTGACTCTCTTCCAGATAGATCACATTGAGCTGCTACATTAAGAATAAGATTAATGGAACTGTACAATTTTTTATACTCCAAAACATCAGCAGTTCCAAGAATAAAACTGCAAGCCTGAAATATATTAAAAAATAAAAATTAATTACTTCATTTAAAATTACTAATAAACAACAATAATTTGTTTACTATTGTGAAGAAACTATAAATTCTCCTGTCAAGCATGATAGAATATTTTTTATGAGAAAATAGAAATTGAAGAATAGAGAAGAGCTTCAAGTTGAGCTTGATGTTGTGATGCTGTTTCTGCAGCCCTTGACAAAGCCATTTTTACTCAATGTTCCTCAAGTCAGACTTCACTGCCTTCACGGGTTTCAGTTCTTATTCTTTTAAATCTAGAAGTTACCTGATCAATTTTACCCTTACACTTTCCCTTGGGCATTTTTTTTTTTTTTTTGACAAAATAGCAAGTCTTTTTAATTCCACATTGATAAAACAAAAATGAATTGTATGTACTGTACATTAGTTAGATTAGTGATACCACTTTCTAAATATGACTCTCTAGATTGTTACTTCCGATTGAATAATAGAATGTCACATGGTCACTATGAAAAGATTTTTTAAAAATTTGTTATAAAAGTGACACAATACAGCTATCTTTTTTTAAAGTTTAAATTTAATGAAGTAAGTTTAAAATACACCATTTGCCAAAATATTTTAAAATGCAACTTAAAAGAAATTCCCTCTTTGAGTATGAATGTCACATAATCACTGACATCACTGCAACATTGGTTGGTTGGTTGTGGTTTCTTGGCACAAGGGCCACAAAGACCAAGCTGTGCCACGCCAAATGGTTAGTTTCCGAACTCAAGACTGCAACATAGTGTGATCATCAATCCAAAATCAATAAAACGTTTATTCTATAGCTAATATTTCAACAAAATAAGTAGCCTATACTTTCCATCAGAACATCTTGAATAAAATTCTTATTTATTCACTTAACTGAATTCTCCATTGAATGTAATAAATAATAATAAAAATATAATTAAATTAACAATGTAAGTAAAACATTACTTACAAATCCATCCAACTTTGGGGAATCTTGATTATTAATTTCAACAGACATGAGATTATAAAATCTTGGTTTTACAGTAGAACCTAGAAAAAAGTATTCATAATTATATAATCTTAAATTTAATATGAAGCAATGTATCCTCAAAATGTTAAGTATGACAAAAAGTAAAATAAATAAATAAACCATCAGATACACTCAACAACATAAACTTAATTATCCAAATGGTTTGCAAAAAATAAATGAATAAAAACGAAACATAGAACAATGTACAATACATGCCACAGAGTATAATACACAGAGACCAAACTCTCCATATAACAGGAAATCACTAAGTCATTTGTCAACTGTAGTACTGTGAAACTAGGCCATGTACAGTACAGTACATATATAACATAATGTTAGATTTTAAGTAAATTAATGTAACTTCAAATACAATAAGTGCATTACTGTATTTTTAGTTCATGCAGAATACAAAAATGAATGAGTTTCTAGATTATCTGAAATTATGTTTATCCAAAAGATCACTGGTCCTATCAAGTTCAGACAATCAGCTTTCCAATGTATTTCAAAATTAATAATTGAGTTAATCTAATATCATAATTTGTAGACAATTTGAATGTATTTAATAATTTGATATGAGTGTTTGTGATTTTTATTTAGTATGCAAATAGGCATTGTGTGTCATTAAAAGCATTATGCAACAAAATGTTACAGATTAATTCAAATATTATATTGATACATGTATACAGATTGAATATATTTTATTAACTGATATATAAAATATAAAAGACAAACAAATCTAATTTTTTTCTCAATACAATGTCCATCAATTGTAATGCATTGATGTTAACATACAGTAGAATGATACATTTTTTTTGCACTGTTTACAAATGCAATGTTGATACAACTAGGTTTAATTCTGTATTAGTTTACAAAATGCATTTGTGTTTTAAAGCATACTTAATTTTATTTAAAATAACCACAAATAAATATTTAAAATTATTAACCTATTAAAACCCGAATGCTTTTGATCATCTCTCTATAACTAACTGATGTTAAAACATCATAAAATCATTGTTTTATCAAAATAAAATGCAAGAAAATTTACTAACAATGCTTAAATATAATAAATTATGTTTACTTTTGCTGTAAAAATAATTTTACAGCAAAATCGTTTTAAAAAAAATCGTTTTCTTCATAGTGTAGAGATGGGTATCTAATGGTAAATACAACAGAAACGCTCTTGTAATTACATCAGAAATTTATAATTTTGACAAAACAATGAAAATATTATGGTATAAATACAGGGTCTTCATAAAATAATATAAATTTTTGAAATCCTAGAGTTAATATCTGAGATATTAGAAATATGTTTCAGTGTCTTCAAAAACTCAAGAAGTTTTTTGGTATACATGGTATTGAGTAAAGTAACATTATGGTGGCACTGTTGTGTCTTCCACTGTGATCTTCTAGTAGAAAGGGCAATATGTGATCTGGTTCTACAAAACTAAATCTGTTGTTACTATTCAACAAAATTTTTATTGTGAGGTATGGCAGTAAAGTGTCTTCAGATAAGAACGTTCATCAGTAGTTTCAATATTTTAAAGATATGGAGCATTTTAAAAGTGAAACTGCCTGAAAGGCCATACATATCAGAAGATAAAATAAAATCAATCAGTTTCCTGTGAACAAGGTCCACAAAAGTCTTAGCACAACACATTTTGGAAATATGGGTTTCTATGACTACCATGTGGTATACAAAGACCCTTCCCTACTTCAGTAATCATGTTCACATGATTTCAGACTGTACATTTTCTAATAAGTGAATTGGTAGGGATGGTTTGATTGCTTGGCCATCTTGGAGTCCAAACATAACACTATATGTTCCCACACAAAACAAATAAAGAATATGGTGTAGGCAGAGCAGATTAGCAGTCCTGACCATCTGAGAGAGAATAACCAACCACTAACAATCACATTCAATATGTTGGCAGAGACATGGGAAGAGATACAATATTACTTAGTATTTGCAAGGCCCTGAAGAGCATATCAAAATGTAATTTAAAAAAACTTCAAGTTATGTTCTTTCATTTCAAATTGTAATTCAAGTGACACTTTTTATTTATCATTTATTAAAATGTGTATGAAATCCTGGAGTTATTCTGTGAATACTTTACACTTCATATCAGTTTTATATCCTAAACCAGACCAAAAACAGGGCAGATACCTAAACCACCATTATATGTTAATATATATTATCTATACCAGTATATCAGAAATGTTTCTATATGACATTACTACTACTGCTTTCTGTAATACAACATGTATATTGTTAGGATCTAATGTTTCAACTTTTATGTAGTATATGCAGTATGACATCTGTGGAAAAAAAATATTTTTGTAAAAAAAATTAGGACACAGAAGACAAGTACTTTATATAATAAAGTTTATGATTTCTATATATATATATATTTATTGATACTCTTCGGTGCAGATAACTTAATTATTATAAATGTTTGGATATACTTATGAAATATTGTTTATTATGAATATGATATGTTGCTTGTTGTAATGAATTGTTTTTTTAATATAATTTTTATATCTATCATAGAATACTCTATTTGTGTGTGTGTGAGTGTTAAATAAATGTATCATATCTATGATAGTAGTTCATCTGTGATGACAGTTTGCATTTTGATATTATGTTTTATTATAATAGGCATGATATATATGACATGTCTAGAAAATGTTGTAAGTATAATGTAAGTATAATGAAGGTAATTAATCACTATCATTACCTTCTGTCTATCTATCAATTTTTTATTGAAATATAGTTTTCATTAGTTTCTATAATTTTCTCTCTCAAAGCATGGACTTCAAACTATTTTAAGAGTAAAAGTTATTGAAAAATACTGTATTATCATCACATAATTTAAAATATAATTTAAAAATAACTAATTTATTTAACATTTGTTATATATGTACCAATTTCTATTTGTAAAAAATATTTTTTAATATAATTTGCTTTTGCTTAGGTTACAGTGACTGACCATTATGGTTATCAGTGTACTTGTAATAGACTGAAGTTGTAATGATTATAGAAAGAACTTATTTAGTATTGTGTGATTTCTCAGACTAAAAACTTATTTTACTCATTTCACATAAAACAAAAAAAATTGTAAAAAAATTAATAATTATATTGCTATAAACAAAATCAAATTTAGTTTATTGTTTTACATAATACTGATAAATAAATAATTTGAAGTTACTAAACTAAATAACAATTTAAAATATTTAATTAATTTGTAACATATTGGCTAAAGACAAATTAGCTGTTATTTAATTTAATAATAATAAGACAGTTGTAAGTCAACAGCAGAATGAAAATTATAAATTTTTTTTTCATTTCATTTCTTAATGTTAGTATTTTATATTGATATTAATATGCAGTTTTATTATTTTATGAAATAATAAAAGAAACACAGGCATACCTCATTAAAACAGTGTGCTAGGTTCCAAACCACTGCCATAAAGTAAGTATTACTTTGAAACAAAATATATCCTTTTTTTCACTTGCCAGTGCTTATAAAAGCCTAAAATCATTTGTACTATTATAGTGCTATTTAAAAAGACACAAAAGTAAAAAATAATATACAGAAAAATGTGAAAAGCCCTTTTAAGAGCAAAGCAAGTGCCAAAAATAATAAACATGAACATAAATGAAAAGTGCCATATTTGGAAATGCCTTAAAATGAGGTATGCCTGTATTAGGAAATTGTACTTTAAGGAAAGAAGAAAATATCATCAGTAATATTATATTTATAGAAATTATATATTATTAATGATTTTATTAATTAAATTTAAATTGAATACTTTGAATATAATATACATGAATACATTTCTTTAAATTATATAAAAATATTTTTTTACAATTCTGTAGAGCAACAAACATGCCAGAATTATTACATGTAATTTTAAATACATTTAATTTACTCAAAACTTACTTTGAAGTTCATCACTTGACAGATTTTTAACATAGTTATCTTCCACATCTTTACAAGAGAAATAAGTTTTACACATTCTTTTTGTATTATCTTTTTCTGAAGATATGCTCAGATTTTGAATAGTAAATAAATTTTTTTGAATCTGTAAAAGTTAGTTTAATATATTTTAAAATATTTAAATTTAAATATATCTAAAACTGAACAAAGAACAACTTGATATTACTTAAAATTTATAACAAAATAAAGCAATATTGAAAATTTACTTAAAAAACTCAAAATTAATTTTAAAAATTAAATAATAAAATGAATATTTGTTTAATAAAAAATTGTTATAAAGACCTACATCTATAATGAAAAATTCAAATAAACAATTCTTATTAAAATTACATGTACTAAGAATATTAATTTAGTTATGTTTTATTTTATTTGATTATGAAACATCCATCATTTACTTGTTCAATTAGGGATGGTGGAGCATCATAAAGATTCTTCATCATATATTCAAACAACAACAGTAATCTTGCTAAATACAATATTTGAAAATCTTTCATGCAACTGAAAAAATAAAAATAAATATATACATACACACACAATTTAGTATTAAACTAAACAATACAAAAAAATATGGATATCTGCCTGAAAATATTTAAATGTTAATTTTAAAGCACAATTAATTTTTACACTTTCCTAAACAGTAATATTAGTATGACATATTACCAGTAAGATATGTCTATCCTACCGATAATATCCAAACAGCATTATGATCTAAGCTATTTTTCAAAGTTTGTTCAAACTATTTTGAAGAAATTCACAAATGTCAGAATTTATTTAAACATCCATTATCATCATGCATTATCTACACTTGTATTATAATATTTTGAGTGTGGCCTATATATTATATATCATATCATTGAATAGTGTATTTTATGGTACGTAAAAATATCCGTCATGCATTATTTAATGGTTTAATTAAAAATAACAATGTTCATAAACTGACTTATACAAAGCCCAGAATTTTATTCAAATAGAAAAGTTAAGAACATTAGAAAAGAGATTGCTCAAAACATTAAAGGCTGTTTTATAGTCCAATGGCAGCAAGGAACTGCTACACTAAATTCACTAAATTCTGTTAAGTTTGATTTGCTATCACTCTGCCACTTATTAATTCAACACTTGATAAAAGATAAAATCATAATTATTTATTGTTATTGTACACTGCAACATACAAATAATTTTCTAGTGAATATGTGAAATTTATTACAATTCATAAATATAATACACAGTATACAGTAGGTTTTATCAATCTAAAAAAATCCAAATAGACAGATTTACTACTATACCTAGTATGTATATTTTTATATTTTAGGATTAGGCAAGATAAAAAAAACTGTCATCGATTTTTTGAACTTATCAAACTATATAAACTGTCTTTTGTACTAGTTGCTCCTCATTGAACTTAATCAAATAAATTGGCAGAATGAATAATACTAACTTCCATTATGAATTGAAACTAACAATTGTATGCTTAAATTATTTATACAAAAACATTACATATATAGCCCTCAACATGCATGTAATAATGTCTAATCTCAGTCTTAACCAGCACTTTAAACGCAGTTTTAATTTTTATTTGCTTGCATTACAGCAATTTAAATTGCTTGTCATTTCTTACTTCAATTATATGCTATTTGTTAAAGACAATAAAAGCAAGCAAATAACACTGAATGAATTACTATTAATTAATAATAATAGTAATAATACTGTTCAAGTTTATACATATTTAATTGTTTTTAACATCTTTTTAATATCAGAGTCAAAATACCATAATTTTTATTGAGTTGTAGTTTTATTTACTTATCCTGCTTAATGTTATCAGTCAGATATTGTTACCAATATAGGCAAATCCTAAAATGATTGCAATAGGCAGACTCCACTGTATGTATAATTTCCATCCATAAACAATTTAATTTATTTTTAAAAAATAGCTACAAAATTCATATAAATTTACCTTTGAACTACTACAGCAACATCAATTATTGTTTGGGCTGTCAGCAATAATATATGTTTCTTTTGCATCAATTGAATGTTGTGGAAAAGAAAAAGCATTAATTGAGCATGTTCAACGTTAATATCTGTAAAACACAAAAATTTTTAATAATTTATTTATATTAATTTCTTTTAAAAATTTTGTAACAATTACATTCTTACATTCTTCAATTGCATAAATATATTTAAAAAATAGAAAAAAAATTTTTTGAAAATATAAACATTTGCATGTAAGGTAATAGGATATTTTCTTTACACTGACTATTACAACATAGTATAAAAAGTCCTCACTTATCATTTTTCCATTATAATGTCATTGAAAAAAAAAACAATTTACATTTACAATCATTTACAATTACTGTTGTTGAATTCTCTTTAAAACAGTAAAATTGATTCTGTGAGGTAGGAAATAAATGCTTTATGTTGCAAACATGATCCTATTAGATTAGTATTAACTAAATTATATCTCACTTATATAATTTAACCTATGGTAAAATTGGTTTCAATATAAGTCATTTTGATTAATGTCACTGTTTCCAAAAAAACTGTCAATGATATTAAGTGAGGATTTGCAGTACTATAATAGTAGTATAATAGTTCATATATTTCTAATTTTGTTTCAAAAGAAAATTATATGGTAATTTAAAAAAAAAACTTATGAACTGTTTGATCTATGACTTTTTCCAAAGTTTGAGAAATTTTAAGACAAAGTTTTGATTAAAAGTAACTGTAAATCCTATATTTAATGAAGTGCTTTTATGATAAAGATATTTCACTGAAAACGTTTTGCAAATCTCTTACTTAAAGAATTATATATCTGATTTTTCATTTCATGTTAAAAGTATGTATGTAAATATATTGGGAAAAATACAATTCTATTTATTTAGAAAAGTTAAAAATTTCTTCAATTGAACCAGTTTGCTTACAACAAAAAAATTTTGCAATGAGATAACAAATATTAAAAAATTATTTTAAGAAATAAATATTTGTTAAAGCAATTACTTAAAACTATTTGAAAATATATTTTAAATTTGGCTCGCTAACAAATCAAAATTATTATGTATGTTTGAATATTTTCATTCTGATAAATTTACCTTCTCCTTCTTCAGTAAATTGAGATGTTGATAATATAGCTTTTTTTATTGTGTACAGTAATTTCTGCCATATTAAAACACATGTTTGTTCACTTTCACTTCTCAAATCATCTTTCTCTCTCTGTTGTCTTAACATCAATATCTATTTAAATTTATTATGAATGAAAATTAATTAATAATAAGCATATATAAAAAAATCAAAAATTTAACTTGATTACAAACTTGTGCAAGAACAGAAAGAGTACGAGGATAAACTTGTAACGGCCAAGTTTCCTGATTCCATGGACTTATATTTAACTGAGACAAAAACATATTCTAGAATAAAAAATAAAATCAATATTAGGGCTGTAATATTTACAAATAATAAACAAATAAAAGTTTTATCACTATATTGTTTGTATTTAAGAAAATTATCTATTATGGTAGTAGTTGCAACAATAAACTATTTTATAAGTAACCATTAGAAAAAAATTTCAGGAACTGAAGATTACATTCATGATCATTAAGTTGTGGTTTCTAAGTTTACTTGATTGGAAAATTCAAAAATTTAGTCTATACTATAAATGGACAAAAGTCCATAATACTAAAATAATTTAGTAGTCATAGCAACAATACAGACAAATTTTGGTTTATGGACTAATTTATGCAATCCCATAAGGATCCATTATAGATGAAATATACACACAGTATATATAAATTTTAAGAAAAAATTTTTGACTTGCTTATGTTTGTTCTAATAATACACCTTAATCATAATAATCTTGAAATTATTGATATATTTTTGATTTGATTTATATATTTATTGATTCTTTTCTATCATGACTATTAAAAAAGAAAATAGTTGCAGAATGAAGTATTAAGAAATATAGTGCATGCTCACCAATGTCATGAACTAATTATACGGGGTTGTTCAGATCAGTGGGATTATATATTAAGAAAAAAAAATCAAAAAGAAATAAATTAATTAAAAAAATTTTTTTTACTATATTTGGGACATATATTTATAATAACAATATGTATTAATTTTACAAATCTTTTGTTAGTGGAAAGGGTCCCATAGAAAGAAAATACACTCATTGACAAAAAGTTAGTTACACATCAAGGAGATTCTAGAATCTAAAATCTGAGTTTTGAACACTGAGCTCCTATAAGCCTTTTTTAGAGGATATTGAAATAGAAATTTTAAGACATACCAGTAGTATTTTCTAGTTTGTAACTATATAACTGTAATCATTTACATACCTGTCTGAGACATTGCTGTAAGCCAAGTTTTACAGTAATCAGACAATTCTATCTGGGTAAATAATTTTTTGCCAAAGAGTATGTTGTAGTAGTATCTATCAAACATTGTAATTGCAATCTAAAGAGCATCAAATAAACCTACTAAAAAACAGAAAAACTACAGCCTATCTGAAAGCTCAAAATAAGGATAAAAAATTTAAATAGGCAGGTGCCAGAGTGGTCAGATCCATTGCAAGAGCACTTCCAATACAAACTACTGAGGAGCTCAATTTTGCCTTTATACAAATGGAAGTCACCAATCAAAATGGATTAAATCACTACAAAATGATTATATCACTGCAACTCCTATTTAATGAAATCTAAATGGAAAATATATAAAACATTATTATGCCAACATCATGCTTTTAATATTCTTTTTAATTTAAAACTTTTAAAATATGACATAACAATAACATAAAAAAGTCCTAGCTTGTTAAAATTTAAAATAATATTCTACTTAGAAAAAAATGATTAGAATAACCTAAAGAAGCAAAAGGCTTCAAAAACAACCAGTTAATATGTGACATCTATAATTTTGAGCATTTTAGTTTTGCAAATTTTGCACTTAACAATGTATAATCGTTATTTTTCTCTTTACTTCTAAACCCTTATTTGATACCATACTAATCTTTTCATATATTTCAATTCAAAATTTTATTTTTTACATTGTCAAACATAAAATGCAACATATAGACATACAAAAATAATTTAAATTACTATTTACATTGTCATTGCTTTTACTTTAAAAATAAAAGTAGTGTTTTTCTTTTTCTCTAATATTCTGCATAAAGACATATCCTTATTTTTGAATTTATCTTTAAATCAATGAAACTAAAAGATCTTTTATGGCATCCTTTTGAGAATATATATATATATTTATTTATTTATTTATTTGTTTTTAATTAATTAATTTATTTACTTATTTTGTATGAAGGCTAAAAACTTACTTGTAATGTATCTGGAATCATTTTAGTTGCTAAAACATTGTGAACAAACCGAGACAATGACTGAGAAAATTCATCATACAACTGTCCAACAACTGGTCCAAAATAAATACTTATTGTACCTAAAATTAATTAACAATATAATATAATTATTTTTAGTCTGAAATATAATAAAATACAATTAATGATATAATTGTTTTTTTATAGCTTGATTTATTAATATTAAAATAAATGTGAATACTAAATTGGTAATTTTTAGTATAAAAGAATTAAAATTTCTAACTTAATTTTTTTTCTTAATTTCTGCTCTATGTATATGAGTATATGTATATATGAGTATGTATGTACTCATATACATAAATACAAATGAGAAAAATATCCAATAACCACAAGGGAATAAAATGTTAATAAATGTCAAACATCTGGAATTACAACACTTTCAGCTTGATTAATTTAATATAAATAATCTTATATAAAATGTAAATAAAACGTAAAATAAAACAAATCAAATTACAACTATATACTTACTGATACAGTAGAGCCTCGAAAACTTGGCCTAATGTGGACCGAAGGGTGGCTGAGTTTGTGAAAATGCCAGGGAATGGGGTTAAAAAAATAAGTATGAGTGTTTCCTCAGAAAATACTGTACTGTACTTGTATGTATTGTTTACTTGAGAATACAACAGAGAATAAACTGCCCAAATACCCTTAAACAAAGGAGAAGTATGTCCTTTATGAAGGCATAGAGCCTTTACTACATGAAAATGAAAATTAATGAATACACTGTGTACAGTAATTTACCTGATAAGACAGACCTCAGAAAAATACTTTATGAGGCATAAAGCTGTCTTTATCATGAAAATTAATTAACTAAGGATTTTTTTGCCCTGCCAGGGTGTGGCCGAGTTATCCGGAGTGCCAGGTTATCGAGTGCCGAGTTTTCGAGGCTCTACTGTATAAACAAAATACACTTTTTTCATTTGTAAAAAAAAACCTTCAAATATAAGTATAAAAACTATATATTAGCAAAAAATATTAACATAAATATTTCTTACAATTTTTGTGATAACTCAGAATATATTTTTTTTCTTCTTAATTGAAGTTTTTAGACTATTTACAAAAAATTTAAAATTTTTTTCGAGTCTATCTTTTTAAATCCTTTATACACCACCACAGAAGTAACAGTTTTTTAAAAATTTTGCTTTGAAGAAAAACTTCTAATGAAGAAAACACTTCTAAAACAAGGTAAAAATGGGTAGAAAAGTCCACAAAGTTAAAAAAGATCAAGTACCAGCCTTTTCTTGTAGGTTTTGACACTTTTTACATTAAAACCATAATGAATTCTTCATACCATATTATTTTATGCACTTAAAAGTCACAAAATTGTAATTATATGCAAATCATGTAGATTTCTTGTAACTACCACTAGAGGGCCGGAAGCAGTTTAAAAGTGGATAAAATAATATGGTATGAAGAATTCATTATGGTTTTAATGTAAAAAGTGTCAGAACCTACAAGAAAAGGCTGGCACTTGATCTTTTTTAACTTTGTGGACTTTTCTACCCATTTTTACCTTGTTTTAGAAGTATTTTCTTCATTAGAAGTTTTTCTTCAAAGCAAAATTTTTAAAAAACTGTTACTTCTGTGGTGGTGTATAAAGGATTTAAAAAGATAGACTCGAAAAAAATTTTAAATTTTTTGTAAATAGTCTAAAAACTTCAATTAAGAAGTAAATATTTCTTGCTTATATTTATTAAGGTAACATTATTTACATTTTATGTATATTTAATTTGCTTCAAGAATGATTATTATATTGCATATAGAAAGATAAATTATAATTAGAAATAAATTAAAAATTTTAAATTTAAATAATTAACTTAAAAATTATAATTTAGAACAAATTAGCTCACCAGTATCAGTTCGAGAAGTTTCTTTATCTAAGTCTTTTATTATACCAGCTAAAACTATCATTTGGGATTCTCCCAGACTACATCTGTAATTAAATTATAAACAATTTGAATTTAATGTAATGAATTTTATTTTTTGAATTAATATAACTAAATTATGTTAACTGAAATTAAATAAAAACATTGATTAAATCATTGTAAACTTAAATTCAATCAGCATGACTTTAAATATACACATGTAATAATATTCAGAAAATACAAAAACTAATTTCATTATTCAATAAGCAGATTACAAAATTAGGTATTTTAGCAAATGTTTCATTCACTTCTGTACTTATATTATTTTAGTTTTATTTGTCTAAATTATGTATGTCTTATGCATACTACATTAACAGTTCAAAGATTACTGTATTGACTTATTTATAACTATTAAAACTGGGGAAATAGTGAAAATATAATTTAAAATAATTTTAGACACCTTTTAGTAATATAATAAATTGTATTTTCTCAATGAATAATGAAATATTTGCATTAAAAACAATTTCAAATATATTAGTAAAAATAACAATGCCTTTAAATAAAACCATACATGGAAAACATTGACTTTCTGAAAAAAATAAAATAAGAAAAATAAGTTATACTAATTTTGTGAAAAATTTTTGGAGATAGGAATTCTTATACCATTCTTTAAATTAAATTTAATCAATTACACAAATTTATCAAAAGCTGAAACTGATTTTGAGTGAACTGAATTATTTCTATCAAAGTATATAAATCACAAATTACATTACATAAACAGAAAATCTATTATAGCAAATAAAAATTTTAACATAAATGAATATTAAAAAAATAATTTTATTCCATTTTCATTGAAATGTCATCATTAAATTCATCACTAAAATTTAGAAAATTTTACAACACAGATGTGCTTCGTATGAAAACAGTACACAGAAAATGTAACAAATAACAAATTTAAATGACAACCAAGATCCATGAGTTCTNGATTTCTCAGACTAAAAACTTATTTTACTCATTTCACATAAAACAAAAAAAATTGTAAAAAAATTAATAATTATATTGCTATAAACAAAATCAAATTTAGTTTATTGTTTTACATAATACTGATAAATAAATAATTTGAAGTTACTAAACTAAATAACAATTTAAAATATTTAATTAATTTGTAACATATTGGCTAAAGACAAATTAGCTGTTATTTAATTTAATAATAATAAGACAGTTGTAAGTCAACAGCAGAATGAAAATTATAAATTTTTTTTTCATTTCATTTCTTAATGTTAGTATTTTATATTGATATTAATATGCAGTTTTATTATTTTATGAAATAATAAAAGAAACACAGGCATACCTCATTAAAACAGTGTGCTAGGTTCCAAACCACTGCCATAAAGTAAGTATTACTTTGAAACAAAATATATCCTTTTTTTCACTTGCCAGTGCTTATAAAAGCCTAAAATCATTTGTACTATTATAGTGCTATTTAAAAAGACACAAAAGTAAAAAATAATATACAGAAAAATGTGAAAAGCCCTTTTAAGAGCAAGGCAAGTGCCAAAAATAATAAACATGAACATAAATGAAAAGTGCCATATTTGGAAATGCCTTAAAATGAGGTATGCCTGTATTAGGAAATTGTACTTTAAGGAAAGAAGAAAATATCATCAGTAATATTATATTTATAGAAATTATATATTATTAATGATTTTATTAATTAAATTTAAATTGAATACTTTGAATATAATATACATGAATACATTTCTTTAAATTATATAAAAATATTTTTTTACAATTCTGTAGAGCAACAAACATGCCAGAATTATTACATGTAATTTTAAATACATTTAATTTACTCAAAACTTACTTTGAAGTTCATCACTTGACAGATTTTTAACATAGTTATCTTCCACATCTTTACAAGAGAAATAAGTTTTACACATTCTTTTTGTATTATCTTTTTCTGAAGATATGCTCAGATTTTGAATAGTAAATAAATTTTTTTGAATCTGTAAAAGTTAGTTTAATATATTTTAAAATATTTAAATTTAAATATATCTAAAACTGAACAAAGAACAACTTGATATTACTTAAAATTTATAACAAAATAAAGCAATATTGAAAATTTACTTAAAAAACTCAAAATTAATTTTAAAAATTAAATAATAAAATGAATATTTGTTTAATAAAAAATTGTTATAAAGACCTACATCTATAATGAAAAATTCAAATAAACAATTCTTATTAAAATTACATGTACTAAGAATATTAATTTAGTTATGTTTTATTTTATTTGATTATGAAACATCCATCATTTACTTGTTCAATTAGGGATGGTGGAGCATCATAAAGATTCTTCATCATATATTCAAACAACAACAGTAATCTTGCTAAATACAATATTTGAAAATCTTTCATGCAACTGAAAAAATAAAAATAAATATATACATACACACACAATTTAGTATTAAACTAAACAATACAAAAAAATATGGATATCTGCCTGAAAATATTTAAATGTTAATTTTAAAGCACAATTAATTTTTACACTTTCCTAAACAGTAATATTAGTATGACATATTACCAGTAAGATATGTCTATCCTACCGATAATATCCAAACAGCATTATGATCTAAGCTATTTTTCAAAGTTTGTTCAAACTATTTTGAAGAAATTCACAAATGTCAGAATTTATTTAAACATCCATTATCATCATGCATTATCTACACTTGTATTATAATATTTTGAGTGTGGCCTATATATTATATATCATATCATTGAATAGTGTATTTTATGGTACGTAAAAATATCCGTCATGCATTATTTAATGGTTTAATTAAAAATAACAATGTTCATAAACTGACTTATACAAAGCCCAGAATTTTATTCAAATAGAAAAGTTAAGAACATTAGAAAAGAGATTGCTCAAAACATTAAAGGCTGTTTTATAGTCCAATGGCAGCAAGGAACTGCTACACTAAATTCACTAAATTCTGTTAAGTTTGATTTGCTATCACTCTGCCACTTATTAATTCAACACTTGATAAAAGATAAAATCATAATTATTTATTGTTATTGTACACTGCAACATACAAATAATTTTCTAGTGAATATGTGAAATTTATTACAATTCATAAATATAATACACAGTATACAGTAGGTTTTATCAATCTAAAAAAATCCAAATAGACAGATTTACTACTATACCTAGTATGTATATTTTTATATTTTAGGATTAGGCAAGATAAAAAAACTGTCATCGATTTTTTGAACTTATCAAACTATATAAACTGTCTTTTGTACTAGTTGCTCCTCATTGAACTTAATCAAATAAATTGGCAGAATGAATAATACTAACTTCCATTATGAATTGAAACTAACAATTGTATGCTTAAATTATTTATACAAAAACATTACATATATAGCCCTCAACATGCATGTAATAATGTCTAATCTCAGTCTTAACCAGCACTTTAAACGCAGTTTTAATTTTTATTTGCTTGCATTACAGCAATTTAAATTGCTTGTCATTTCTTACTTCAATTATATGCTATTTGTTAAAGACAATAAAAGCAAGCAAATAACACTGAATGAATTACTATTAATTAATAATAATAGTAATAATACTGTTCAAGTTTATACATATTTAATTGTTTTTAACATCTTTTTAATATCAGAGTCAAAATACCATAATTTTTANATTAATGATATAATTGTTTTTTTATAGCTTGATTTATTAATATTAAAATAAATGTGAATACTAAATTGGTAATTTTTAGTATAAAAGAATTAAAATTTCTAACTTAATTTTTTTTCTTAATTTCTGCTCTATGTATATGAGTATATGTATATATGAGTATGTATGTACTCATATACATAAATACAAATGAGAAAAATATCCAATAACCACAAGGGAATAAAATGTTAATAAATGTCAAACATCTGGAATTACAACACTTTCAGCTTGATTAATTTAATATAAATAATCTTATATAAAATGTAAATAAAACGTAAAATAAAACAAATCAAATATTTCTGCCATATTAAAACACATGTTTGTTCACTTTCACTTCTCAAATCATCTTTCTCTCTCTGTTGTCTTAACATCAATATCTATTTAAATTTATTATGAATGAAAATTAATTAATAATAATAGTAATAATACTGTTCAAGTTTATACATATTTAATTGTTTTTAACATCTTTTTAATATCAGAGTCAAAATACCATAATTTTTATTGAGTTGTAGTTTTATTTACTTATCCTGCTTAATGTTATCAGTCAGATATTGTTACCAATATAGGCAAATCCTAAAATGATTGCAATAGGCAGACTCCACTGTATGTATAATTTCCATCCATAAACAATTTAATTTATTTTTAAAAAATAGCTACAAAATTCATATAAATTTACCTTTGAACTACTACAGCAACATCAATTATTGTTTGGGCTGTCAGCAATAATATATGTTTCTTTTGCATCAATTGAATGTTGTGGAAAAGAAAAAGCATTAATTGAGCATGTTCAACGTTAATATCTGTAAAACACAAAAATTTTTAATAATTTATTTATATTAATTTCTTTTAAAAATTTTGTAACAATTACATTCTTANAATTGAGCATGTTCAACGTTAATATCTGTAAAACACAAAAATTTTTAATAATTTATTTATATTAATTTCTTTTAAAAATTTTGTAACAATTACATTCTTACATTCTTCAATTGCATAAATATATTTAAAAAATAGAAAAAAAATTTTTTGAAAATATAAACATTTGCATGTAAGGTAATAGGATATTTTCTTTACACTGACTATTACAACATAGTATAAAAAGTCCTCACTTATCATTTTTCCATTATAATGTCATTGAAAAAAAAAACAATTTACATTTACAATCATTTACAATTACTGTTGTTGAATTCTCTTTAAAACAGTAAAATTGATTCTGTGAGGTAGGAAATAAATGCTTTATGTTGCAAACATGATCCTATTAGATTAGTATTAACTAAATTATATCTCACTTATATAATTTAACCTATGGTAAAATTGGTTTCAATATAAGTCATTTTGATTAATGTCACTGTTTCCAAAAAAACTGTCAATGATATTAAGTGAGGATTTGCAGTACTATAATAGTAGTATAATAGTTCATATATTTCTAATTTTGTTTCAAAAGAAAATTATATGGTAATTTAAAAAAAAAACTTATGAACTGTTTGATCTATGACTTTTTCCAAAGTTTGAGAAATTTTAAGACAAAGTTTTGATTAAAAGTAACTGTAAATCCTATATTTAATGAAGTGCTTTTATGATAAAGATATTTCACTGAAAACGTTTTGCAAATCTCTTACTTAAAGAATTATATATCTGATTTTTCATTTCATGTTAAAAGTATGTATGTAAATATATTGGGAAAAATACAATTCTATTTATTTAGAAAAGTTAAAAATTTCTTCAATTGAACCAGTTTGCTTACAACAAAAAAATTTTGCAATGAGATAACAAATATTAAAAAATTATTTTAAGAAATAAATATTTGTTAAAGCAATTACTTAAAACTATTTGAAAATATATTTTAAATTTGGCTCGCTAACAAATCAAAATTATTATGTATGTTTGAATATTTTCATTCTGATAAATTTACCTTCTCCTTCTTCAGTAAATTGAGATGTTGATAATATAGCTTTTTTTATTGTGTACAGTAATTTCTGCCATATTAAAACACATGTTTGTTCACTTTCACTTCTCAAATCATCTTTCTCTCTCTGTTGTCTTAACATCAATATCTATTTAAATTTATTATGAATGAAAATTAATTAATAATAAGCATATATAAAAAAATCAAAAATTTAACTTGATTACAAACTTGTGCAAGAACAGAAAGAGTACGAGGATAAACTTGTAACGGCCAAGTTTCCTGATTCCATGGACTTATATTTAACTGAGACAAAAACATATTCTAGAATAAAAAATAAAATCAATATTAGGGCTGTAATATTTACAAATAATAAACAAATAAAAGTTTTATCACTATATTGTTTGTATTTAAGAAAATTATCTATTATGGTAGTAGTTGCAACAATAAACTATTTTATAAGTAACCATTAGAAAAAAATTTCAGGAACTGAAGATTACATTCATGATCATTAAGTTGTGGTTTCTAAGTTTACTTGATTGGAAAATTCAAAAATTTAGTCTATACTATAAATGGACAAAAGTCCATAATACTAAAATAATTTAGTAGTCATAGCAACAATACAGACAAATTTTGGTTTATGGACTAATTTATGCAATCCCATAAGGATCCATTATAGATGAAATATACACACAGTATATATAAATTTTAAGAAAAAATTTTTGACTTGCTTATGTTTGTTCTAATAATACACCTTAATCATAATAATCTTGAAATTATTGATATATTTTTGATTTGATTTATATATTTATTGATTCTTTTCTATCATGACTATTAAAAAAGAAAATAGTTGCAGAATGAAGTATTAAGAAATATAGTGCATGCTCACCAATGTCATGAACTAATTATACGGGGTTGTTCAGATCAGTGGGATTATATATTAAGAAAAAAAAATCAAAAAGAAATAAATTAATTAAAAAAATTTTTTTTACTATATTTGGGACATATATTTATAATAACAATATGTATTAATTTTACAAATCTTTTGTTAGTGGAAAGGGTCCCATAGAAAGAAAATACACTCATTGACAAAAAGTTAGTTACACATCAAGGAGATTCTAGAATCTAAAATCTGAGTTTTGAACACTGAGCTCCTATAAGCCTTTTTTAGAGGATATTGAAATAGAAATTTTAAGACATACCAGTAGTATTTTCTAGTTTGTAACTATATAACTGTAATCATTTACATACCTGTCTGAGACATTGCTGTAAGCCAAGTTTTACAGTAATCAGACAATTCTATCTGGGTAAATAATTTTTTGCCAAAGAGTATGTTGTAGTAGTATCTATCAAACATTGTAATTGCAATCTAAAGAGCATCAAATAAACCTACTAAAAAACAGAAAAACTACAGCCTATCTGAAAGCTCAAAATAAGGATAAAAAATTTAAATAGGCAGGTGCCAGAGTGGTCAGATCCATTGCAAGAGCACTTCCAATACAAACTACTGAGGAGCTCAATTTTGCCTTTATACAAATGGAAGTCACCAATCAAAATGGATTAAATCACTACAAAATGATTATATCACTGCAACTCCTATTTAATGAAATCTAAATGGAAAATATATAAAACATTATTATGCCAACATCATGCTTTTAATATTCTTTTTAATTTAAAACTTTTAAAATATGACATAACAATAACATAAAAAAGTCCTAGCTTGTTAAAATTTAAAATAATATTCTACTTAGAAAAAAATGATTAGAATAACCTAAAGAAGCAAAAGGCTTCAAAAACAACCAGTTAATATGTGACATCTATAATTTTGAGCATTTTAGTTTTGCAAATTTTGCACTTAACAATGTATAATCGTTATTTTTCTCTTTACTTCTAAACCCTTATTTGATACCATACTAATCTTTTCATATATTTCAATTCAAAATTTTATTTTTTACATTGTCAAACATAAAATGCAACATATAGACATACAAAAATAATTTAAATTACTATTTACATTGTCATTGCTTTTACTTTAAAAATAAAAGTAGTGTTTTTCTTTTTCTCTAATATTCTGCATAAAGACATATCCTTATTTTTGAATTTATCTTTAAATCAATGAAACTAAAAGATCTTTTATGGCATCCTTTTGAGAATATATATATATATTTATTTATTTATTTATTTGTTTTTAATTGTTTATTGCAACTTGGTTATCATTGTGGATAATAATAATAATTCGATTGTATAATAGTAATAATATAGAGGAAAATTATATAAATGAATTTTGTATATAGACTTAAAAACTAAGATATGTCTTACAAACAGACAAACGAACAGATGCAATCAAACGGTTATTATATAAAGTAGTTTTTACTTACTCTACTAAAAATTATTTTGCTTATCTCTTCTATTAATAAAATAATATATCTAGGTGATTAAATTTATTCTATTAATTTATATACGATTATTATACAACTGCATTACATAATAATTATTAATTTATCTCTCATATACAGAATAGCCCAAAAGTCAATTAACCGTATTTGTGATTATCAATTATAAATTTAAATCAAATCAAGGCTTTTTTCTTTTACAAAATTGATTTAAAATATTTGGCAATAATGCAATTTAGTCTTTACAATTTTTAACTGATTTTAGGACTTCCCCCGTGTAATAGAAGATAAGTATCTAATACACGTTACTGAGTAAATAAACATCATTTCAGCACCAAAAATTGCATATTTTTAAAA